AGCATGTAGTGTTGGTTAGACGCCCTGCAGAGCTATTAATACCTCGTGAGTCATTTGAACAGCACTGCTGGAAATGGTGTTCCTCCGCTTTCTGTTTAGGGGGAAAGAGAAAATACTTCTAACATATGGCAGCAGTATTTTCTAATATCTCAGGTCTAATTCTAATACTTCTATTTGTTACTTTGGGGTTGTTAAAATTTTCTCTACCAACAGATACTATTATTCAGAAGAGATTTTAACTTACACAGAAGTTCATGAGCCCTGGCTGGTGTAGCTCAGTGGACTGAGCTCAGGCCTGTGAACCAGAGGATTGCGGTTTGATTCCCAGTCAGGGCACATGCCTGGGTTGCAGGCCGGTTCCCATCAGGGGACACACTAGAGGCAACCACACATTGATATTTCTCTCCCTCTCTCCTTCCCTTCCCCTCTAAAGATAAATAAATGAAATCTTAAAAAAAAAAAAAAAAGAAGTTCATGAGATCTCAGATCCAGAAATTTTTCCAAGATGTTTGGAAATGTGTTGCTGGTTAACATGCAAAATGCTTGGTGAGAAGAGCGGAGGGCTGAGGTTCCCCCTCTTGCTGAGATATTAAAGTGGAAGACTCTGACTGAGTGACCACCAGGGGGATATGATCATTCTGTCTGGCCAGCCCCAGTCTTATCCTGGGCTTGCCTACTGTATTAGTCAGGATTGTTGGGTGGCCGGTGAAAATAAAAACCCAATGCAAACCAGCTTCAGTAACACACAGGGATGTGCTAGCCCATGTAACCAGACTAGGGAGAGAATAGGGGTGTGTTACCTTCAGGAATGGCTGGATCCAGGGACTCTAACACTACCAGGATTCTTAGTTTCTTGTCTCCTCTACTTACAGTATGTTTTCTCAGACTAACTTCATGAGACATGGGAGGGGACGTGAATACTAGTGGATCCTGATGCACAGCCTCAGGTTTCTTAACCAAAGGAGGAAAAGGGCTCCTCCCTCCCAGATTCAGTTTCGACATTCCTGTGGAGGACAGTGATGAGCGAGGCTTCCTATGACCACTCTTGGGACCAATTTGTTGCTCGAAGGGGTGGGAAACACCATCATTGTAGCCAGGAGCATGGAATCTGTTAACAAAAGTTAGAGGGGTGGGAGCTGGGCAGTCTGAACAAAAGATAGGTCCTACATAGCCCTTCTTCTGGGAACTGTCCCTTCCCCTCCATCCAGAAGGAATCACCCTGGAAGACTGACCCTTCCCCTTTGCTGTGACGGTTAGTCATGGGTGCTTGCGGGTCCATCAGAATCTCTCCCAGGAACTCGGAACTGAGGCTTGGAGAAGCCCGCGTGATTGGTGGCTTGCTTGTACTGAGGAGCTGCTGGAGGAACCATTTTTTTTTTACCATCAGGGTGGGAATCAGAAAGTGCAGGGCAGCAAGACAAGAGGAAGCAGCAATACCGAGGGAAGCAGGTGCAAAGGGCTGAGCACTCTGACGGGACCCATGTTCCGGTTCCCCAGTTCCTGGTGCCCAGCCACAGCCCTGCTGTGAGCTCTGTGCAGCAGCCCACACCCTCATCACCCCCCTTGCCTTTCGGGAAGCTCAAACTGCATTTATGTAGTTTGTAATCAAAGCCTTCTGTTACTATTATTCCAGAAAAACAGCCACGCCCTGATACTTCGACATGCAGTGCAGGGCATGGTGGAACGGGCGGGTTCCCGCACCTGTCTTCCTCTGCCAAACCCGAGCTCTCTTACTCTGTGACATCCCGCAAGTTACTTGACCTCTGCGTGTCAGTTTCCTCACCTGTAAGGGGAACCATCAAGAGTAGCTACATGGTTGTGCTGTGAGAATTAAACGAGTCAATCCACGAAGATCAGTGCCTGGCACGTGGAACTCACTCAATAAACATTAGCTGTTATTCACAGTAAGAGAGGGCAGTAGTGTCTGGGAGATGGGCCAGCCAGGGATCAGGTCCCAGCTTGCTAGGTGTCGAACCCTCTGGTGGCGACTGTTCCAGCCACTTAGCTGCCAATATGTAGAGGGGATATCAAGGACTTTCTCTATAAAAAGGTGAATTTCACTCTAATGCTTGTATTGCTCTTCACCAGGATGCCCTCCCTATTGACTACCTTAGGAATAAGTATGTCTCTTTACAAGTCATTGTGCTGCACATGCTCTGGTTGAACCAAACTGCACTGTTGGCTGGAACAGATACCGGACAATGGGGGGCAGTGGTCAAGGGCACAGATGCTAGAGTCAAATGACCTGTATTTGAGACCAGGTCTTGCCACTAACTGGCCTGGTGTCCTCAGACAATCCGCTGAACCTCTGTGAACTCACCGTGCCTTGAATTCCTCGGCTGTAAATGAGGGTGAAGCGGCTAACAGTAGTTAACAACGACCCTCCTGAAAACAGCCGTTGGGAGGATCGAAATGGCTACAGTAAGTGGAACACTCAGAAGGTTTGCGCTTATTAGTCATCTCCTGCAAAGCCTAGCACCCTGCTGTATAAATGGTTTTATCAATAAACACATGTTCATTTCTATGACCTTTTCATGCAGACATAGTACATGAATAATGTATGACAAGTACATTATTCATGCACTTGTCATATATATATATAAAAGAAAATATACCTAAGGTAGGGAAAATACATATTCATGTACTTGTCATATATATATATAATAAGGTAGAGAAAATACATATAATAAACAACACCACTAGCAATGTCACTGCTCAGAGACAATACTATTAGTATTTTTCTATATTCCATTCATTAATTAAACAGCATTTACTGAGCATTTAATATGCGGAAGGCTTTATGCTCTTGCTAAAGCTATCACAGTGAGCAAAAATAGAACTAGTTCTTGCCTCATGGAGTTTACGGTCGAGTGGGTGGAAACACAGCTTCATCAAGTAACGATATACACACATGTGAAGGTGCCACTGTGGTATGTGCTGTAAAGGGAAGGATGTGGATGGCAGGGAGATCTGACCAAGTTGTGGGGGTCCATTTTCTAAAGGTTATGAGGAAGTGATTCCTGAGCTGAGAATTAACTTGTAGAAAGTAAGTCGGTGAAGGCAGAGGGGAGAGTGTGCCCAGAAGGACTGCAGTAACCCCAAAGGCCCTGCTGTGGGAGAGAACACAGTGGGGAGAGGGGAGTCGGGGTCCAACGATGCTGCCGTGCACACCAGCCCAAGCTGCTGATTTAGGGAGAGGGCAGATGTAGCATAGCGCAGTGTGCTTCGTTTAGAAATTACATCCTCTAGTCATTAACCTTTTTATCTTCTCGCCAGGGACACATTTATTTTACATAAATTGGATTTAGAATACATATTGCTTTTATTATGAACTTTTTTTGAACAATAACTATATGGCAATTTACCTCTTATTGTTGAAAATATATAGGTTGTTTTCAGCCTTTCCACTTTTTCTATGGTTTTCTCTACGTGGACATCAGTCCAAATATTTCTTGGCATTGGTTTCTGCAAATGTAATTGCTGGTTCTGCAAATTTGTTAACATATCTTCATCATAATAGTGTCTGGAAAATTAGCATATTCAACTATCAAGATCTGATGCTATGTGATGCTCTGGGTTTTTTTTTTTTTTTTTTTTTTTTAATCTTTAGAGGGGAAGGGCAGGAGAGAGGGAGAGAAATATCAATGTATGGTTGCCTGTCATGGGTCTCCTGCTGGGAACTGACTGGAGCCCAGGCATGTGCCCTGACTGGGAATCGAACTGCGATCGTGTGCTTTGCAGGCCTGCGCTCAATCCACTGAGCTACACCAGCCAGGGCTGCTCTGGGCTTTTGAGGTTGGTGTGAGTCTTACATTCCGACCTACAGAACCTGCTTCTTTATTTTCTTTGGTGTGTGAGGAAGTCCCATTTATTTCTGATCTCCATGGGACCTTCCCTCAAGTTCAGATCACGCAGTACGAGCTGCCAACAGAGTATCTTTTGCGACAGCTCTAGAAGCCTGACTGCCCTACTCTTGGGCTCCGTGGAAGAGGAAGGCCTTCGTATCTGTTGCTGACGGATCTTCCTCTGGACTGCAGATACACTGGAAGCTCAGCCAGTCCTTCCCTCTCCTCTGGCCTCCTGCTTCGTCTGTTCTGTTTCCATGCACTGAGGTCACTCACTTGGGGTGAGGTTCAGATGATTCTTTGACAGACTGAGGTGTTCCGTGCTAGCTAACAGACACCATTTCCTCCAGAGCCTGTGTCTTCCATCTCACCTTTCAACATCTGGCAAAGTGTCCTTTTCCTTGTTCAAAGTCCTGTTTGTATCTTGACCTTTAGATTACTTTCTAAGGACCCACAGACCATTAGGCCACAATGTCTAGTCTTCTAATGATTAACATAGCCAATTGATTCACACCTTCTCAAAATGTTCTTTGCATTTGCTTTCTTCGTTGTAAAAAAAAAAAAAAAAAATCCTGTTTCCAAGGTCTGGGGTGCAGGGATGCTCTCCCTGAAGTAGCCAGATGGTGGGCAGGCCTTGCAAGGATATTGGGTTTCTAGGTCGAGTGAGGTTTGCACTGTGCCAGGCACAGTGCTAACTGCATTCTATAGGTCATTTCTTTTAATCCCCATGACAACCCTGTAGGGTAGGTATCACTGAGGTCCCCAATTTGCAGGTTAGAGGCTTTGGGAGGTTGTCACTCGTCCACAGTCACGCAGCTACTATTTGGGGAGCAGCCCCCACTTCTGCTCGTAAACTAAGGAGATGAAGCACAGGGAGGCAGACCGAGAAACAAAACGTAAAACGCGGTCAAGAAGCAAAGGAAATGTAGGCAGGCAGGCGGATGAAGCCTCTTTCCTGCCTCCTTTCCAACCACCGCTGAAACCTCCGTGAAGCCCCAACGCCTCCCAGCGGCCGCCTGGTGCCCGCAGCGTTTCCGGTCGCTGGAGGGTGTCATTAACCTGCGCCCGGCACCGGCGCTGACCACGTGCGTGCGTGTGGTGTAAGACGTCGGGGAGGAGGCGGGTCTTCCGGCCTTGGCCAAAACCATTTCCGACAGGAGCCGGAAGATGGTGCCGGATGGCGGTGGGGGCGGCCTGCTGCTGTAGGTGAGCGGTGCGGCTGCCCGCCTTCCCGCGCCCCTTGATCGCCCCATGCTGCGGGCCGCAGGCGCCATCCCCCGCTCGGACCGGCGGCGCTGAGGCGCGGGGCAGCGTGCACCATGTCGTCGGCCCTCCGCGCAGCCGACTTCCCTCGCTGGAAGCGCCACATTTCGGAGGAGCTGAGGCGCCGGGACCGGTTGCAGAGGCAGGCATTCGAAGAGATCATCCTGCAGTGTGAGCGGCGGGCGGGCCCCGGGAGCGGGCGGGTAGACAGGCCCTGCAGAGGCACGTGGGGCGCCAGTGGGCATCGGCGGTCGGGGCATCGGCGCCGCGCGCCACTCTGAGCCCCGAACCTTTTGTTTAGAATAAAGCGTTCTCTTTCTTTCACGTTACTCTTGGGTGTGACCGTGTAGGGTTTCCCTTACTGAGTCATGTTTTCTTCATAGACGGGCACGGTTCACGTTTTGTTTGGAAATCCCAGCAGCTCGCACAGTGCTCGTGCCCTTAAATAGGCAGGGTCCAGAAACGGACGCGGACTCGCATTGACTCGCTCAGTTAACATCGTCTTCTGAGTGTCATGGAATCATGAAATGTTTGGCCTTTGATTCTGCACGCTTCCTGCCCTTATTCCACGTTGGTATTCTGTGACTACTGCACATTTCGAGTCTTCACATACGTTAAAGTTGGGACATCATAGTGCTTACTGTTAGTGAAAACTTTGATATGAAAGAGGTGGTTTTCTTTCGCCCCCGCTGCAATTCGAGCACAAAAATGTTTGTATTCTTAAATGCGTTTTAATGAGCGTTTCCTGGCTTCCCCTTTCCCCAATTTTACCTTAACTGGTGACGCATTTGGGGTGAGAAATGGGCACACTTCAGTCCTATGGTTTCATCCAGCCCTTGAGTTCAGCCTGACATGTCCCTCCCGCTATGTTACTTGATGAGGTTCAAAGTAATAGTAGTTGCCCTTTGCTGCATTATGCATTGTGCCTATTCTCAAACCCACCTGTACATTAGAATCACCTGGGGAGCTTTTAAAAAATTACACAGTTCAGGCCACACCCCAGACCAACTGAACAGCAGTATAGAGGGGTAGGACATGGCATCAATATGTTTTTTAATGCTCCGCAAGTAATTCTTACGTTTGAGTACTGTGGTGAACATTTGGCAGGTACTGTTTTACTTAATCATCCCGAAAATTTTATGAAGCAGGCCCTGTTGTCCTTTTTACCCTTGAGGCGTCTCTCTGGGGTGGCAGTTCCTCGGATTAATGGTGGGGCCTAGATTTGAACACAATTTGATGACTTCTAACTTGCATTTGCTTTTCTCATTTGGTCCCCTAAAAAGTGGTGCTTTCTCCCTGAGCCCATCTTAAAAAAGACAGGAAGGAAGAGAGATGGCAGCCCCCTGACAGATGCCATTTGTTACCAGGATCACAGACAGTCCTCTTATTTGAATGTGATTTCTTCTCTGGTTAAGTAAATTCAGGCCGTCAGGTGGTTATTGAATGTTCTTTAAAAGCTCGTACATGTTGAAAATCAAAATGAGTTGGAGATCTGACTCCACCCCTTACTGACCATTTTTTCCACTGGGCTTTCTGAGTCTGGTTTGCTGTTGCATCTATAAAATGGGGGTGAAGCTTGCTCTTCCTGCTTCATAAAAATCAAAGCTGTGAGTGTGCTTTGGAAGCCATGTGCATAATAGTCCATAAATGGAAGGTGCCTGTAATCACGTTGGCACAATGAATGTTCTTCTGCACTTTAAAATAGACATCTTGGGGGGTACAAGGATGTAAAAGGTCAGGAGAGGTCAGTCCTGGGTATACCTGAAGGGCTGGGAGGGGCATGAGAGCAAGGACTGCCGACACTCCTCAATCCAGCCTTCTCTGTCAATCCTCACTGTCCATCAGCCCGGCGTCTCCTGTCCAGGTCCTGCCCCTGAGCCTGAAGAAAAAGATGAAAAGAAGCTGGGGCACAGGCGGCGTGGTTCTGCCCCCTCCGTCCTTCTCTGTAGTGGGGAGAACTTTGAGGGAGGATGCCTCCTGAATACCTGCCTTGCCTTTGAAAGACCTGATGTGATCACAGGGCGCCCAGCTCTGGTGTAACCTGTGGAAGGTCTTTGACGCTGGTGAACATCTGGGTGGGAAGCACGTTCCTGTTCTGCCCAGCTGGTTCATTAAATTAACGTGGAAGAGGAGAGTTTTCCTTTCTGCCCAGGAACTCCATTTTCAGATGTAAGGGAGCAGTGCAACTCAAGACTCTTTAAGAGAAGAAAAAAGCTCTTCCTTTGTGAACAGTCACTAGCACAAGCCCTACCGATTTTTGGTTTTGAGCAGTTACAATCTCTGACTTGTAGCGTTTGCGACAGTGCCCATCAAATGTAGCTCTTCCTCGAGTTTCCCATGGCCACTTTTCTGGTTCAGGTCGGTGTACCCCACCCCCATCTGATCTTGCCAGTCCCCTGTGTGCCTGGCATTCCTAACTGCGTGTCATTTCTAGCCCTGGTCCCTGTCTCGTTTGTGACGTCCAGAAAGAGAACTAGTTTTCTCCCTTGATCTCTTCTTGCCACAGCAGGAAGGCGCTCCCTGCCACAGCAGCATCTTCCACCCGCTGCCTGAGCAAGCGACCTCAGGGTGATCTTTGACCTCCTGCTAATATCTGTTCCTGTCACTGACCCTTCATCATTGCCACTTAAGAAAGGTCTGAATTTCTCATCCCGCCCTTTCTTGTGCTGGCTTCAGCCTTCGTTTCCAGCCACTTCGCAGACAGTGCTGCTGGTCCTCCCTCCCAAACTGTCATCTTCCCCTGTGACACTGTCGGAGTAAAACATCACTCTTCTCTTCCTTTTATGCTTGGCCGCCCCCACACCCACCCCAGGACACTTGAGCTCTCATTCATGTCTGTATCCCCAGTGCTCTGATCTGAAAATCCAATTGCCCAAGTGTAGTACCAAGGTCAGGTTCTCCTGTGCTACTGAGCGGTGCGCAGCGTTTTGTCCTTCCCTTCTGTTTCGGTGTGTTATTTTCTACTCCCAAGGTAGAATCAGGTAACTGTGGGAGCAGGCTGCCTTTATGAGGGGGAACATTCTCGCAGGATTGTTTGCAGAGGTTCCTTTGGCTGGCTGCCCTTGCTGAGGCCGAGCAGCATCTGAAGAGTGTGTATTTCTGGATTTTGGGTAATTGATGTAATTGGTGACAAAGTACGGTACTTAGTACTTTGATACCTAATAAAAGTGAAACCTACCCGGGCTTCTGGAGTTTCTTTTTGTCCAAATCTTGATAAGACAGTAGTAAAAAAAAATGTGTTTGAGGTTATAACAAATAACCTGATTTTCCATCTCCCCCCCCCCCTCTTTTTTCTTATAGATAACAAGTTGCTGGAAAAGTCAGATCTTCATTCAGTGCTGGCCCAGAAGCTACAGGCAGAGAAGCCGGACCTTCCCAACAGGCATGAGATAAGGTGTTTTGAAATTGTCCTGTGTCACCTGTACGTCCTCCCTAGTTGAAGTGAGTCTCAGTTCAGTTGTCACCTCTCAGATTCAGAAGCAAACCAAGCACTGCTCCTGCGCTCCCGTTTTGTCAGCTCCTTTCAGACGAGAACTTTGGAAGACAGGTGCCTTATTTTGCTGTGTATAATGCACACTTTTTGCCCAAAGTTTTTAGGGAAAAATAAGGACATGTATTGTGCATGGGTAGTACTAATTCTGCATCTATACAAATGTTTTTAATTCTTTTATTTATGCTTATGTGCTAAAAGTATAACTTTAGAAAGCAGTAGTGGTATCCATATGCAAAAAAAAAATACCCTGGAATATGATAATACAAAAAACAAGTATCTAAATGTAAAACAAAAATTTGAATTAAAAAATTTAAACAAAAGATTCTTTTTTCCCCTGAAATTTTGGGCCCAAATCATGGGTGCACATTATACATGGCAAAACACGGTAAATAAAATCTTTTTTTTTTTTTTTTAATTTTTTTTAAGGTAGGGACCTACCCTAGCCCTTAAAGGGCTAGCATAGTAAGATGCTGTAATCTAGAGGAATTGCTCAAGGCCAGTCACCTGGCCAGCTTCTCCAGCCAGCGGGGTCACATTTTCTAAATGATCGGGCAAGCATTCTTGAGCAGATTTACATGGATCTTGTTAACACAGTATTGCCATAAGTTGCTTTTTCTACAAGACAGGTCTATTTGATCCTTTTTAGTTCAGTGCTTTTCAACATGTTTTAGTAGATTGTGAAATTAAACTAGCTGGTTGCAACAAACCCTTGTTTTGAAAAAGGATTAGGAAAAAGGTCTGTTTTTATAGGAAGGTGAGTATTGTCTCGTTAGATATGCGCATGTGTGTTCACCAGGGGGGTTTGATGTGTTTCCGTGGGTCATCTGAGGGCCATAGTCCAAAAACCTGAAAGCCTTTCTTCGTCAAAGTAGCATAAACGGAATCATTCTAGAGTCTTCTGTCTTCTTTTTCCATACATTTGTGTTGGCACATTAAACTTGATGGTTTGTATGGAAACAGTACCCATTATTGCTGCAGAATGTGTTCTTATTTTCACATTTAGCATTTTTAAAAACAAGGTTGACAATAATTTGGGGTTTAAAAAAGAACCAGAAATGTTAGGTGTGGCTCCGCGTCTTTACTCCCAAGGTTGAGTGGGTCGTGGAACTGTCTGCCCCCTGTGTTTGCATGGAGGGCGGGCAGGCAGGTTTCCTGGCGCACCAGCGTGGGGGAGATGAACAGATGGCCCCGGGTCCATGCTGGCTTGGTAACAGTACAGCAGAGTGTGTCTGGCTGGGCCCTGGGCGGCCCTCTGTAGTATGGAGAATACTTGCTTCAGTGTCCTGGTGAGTTTTAGGGGTAGAGGGTGCCATGTGACCCTTTCATCTGAATCAGTCAGTGGAAAACTCAGAACAATTTATTTCTACCAGGTTAGACTCTTGGTGATTATATTATCTGTCCCTCAAAGTAAACTCACTTGGTTATAAAGGTTCTGTAAGTTCATGTAAAACAGTTCTTTTTACTGAATATCACGGGGGCGAGAATTCCATGGGAGGGAGAATTCCATGGGAGCGCCTTCTTTCCCTCACACACTTGTGTTCATGATCAGGCCTCTCCTGTTATTTTCCACACGGCGTCTGGCGTTCCCTTTTCCCTGGTGGGTCCCGTGCCTCCCCGTGTACATTCAGATCTCTCCTCTGTGCATCTGTCCCTTAGTTTACATTTATTTAGCTGCTGCATCAAGCCCCCCTCCCTTGCCCATCCATCCCTCTTTCGGTTGTTCACTGTCCTTTCCCTCCGGCACTGTGGCTGCAGGCCTCTGCCCCCGGTGATGGTGGTGCTGGCCCTGCGTGGTGGGTGCACAGACAGCTGAGTCTAGTAGGGCGGGCCTCTCCAGGCTGTACTTGCTAGTGTGGAGTGTGTGCACAGAGGATGGCTGCCTGATGGGTTTGTTAAGAAAAATTCAGCTGAGCAATTTCGAAGATCTAATTGGATAGAGGACACATCAGATATCTCGAAGATCTAATTGGATACAGTGAGATCTAACTTGTGAATCTGGAGCATCCTATCCAGCAACTAGAGGGCCCTTCAGGGAGTTGTACAAAACGGGAGGTTTTCTAGGGAAAAGGGTGGGGCAAGGGCCTTACTAACAACAGAAGAGAAAGGGTTCTTGCCCCTCCCAAGAGTTTTTATCTTGCAGATTGTCTCTTTCTTTGGGGAGGGAGGAAATGAGAGGCCCCTGTGACAGTTTACCTTTTAGGTGTTAGCCAGAATTTCTAGACCGTTGGATTAATCTGGAAAAGGTTGAAACTGCAGTTTGATCAGGTGTTAAATCTTGGTGTGAGATTGTAGCCTTTTAGCATGATTGACACCATTTAAATTTCCTTCTCCCTGTCTCCTTAAGTCCTGCCTGTCTTGTCCTAATGATACTTAATAGCATTGTACACTTGAAACGTATATAATTTTATTAACCAGTATCACCCTAATACATTTAATGAAAAAAATTGTAAAGATTTTGTTTATTTATTTATAGACAGAGGGGAAGGGAGGGAGAAAGAGAGAACATCAACGTGTGCTTGCCTCCTATGTGCCCCCCAACAGGGTCCCATACCCACAACCCAGGCATGTGCCCTGACTGGGAATTGAACCAGCAACCTTCCGTTCTCAGGCTGGCACTTGATACACTGAGTTACACCAGCCAGGGCAAATTTAATGAAATTTTAAAAACTCTTTTGAAAGCTTTATTTACATCAGTTGACTTCCCTTTTAAGTATTTTAATCCCTTTGCTCACTAAAAAGATTAAAATTACACTCTGCAGCCTGGAAATAGTGGATTCCAGTGGTTTTTTAAGTAGGCTTCCTGGGCATTTCTTTCCAGTCTCTGATCGTGCACAGGGACCTCAGAGAACCTTCTTCAACTGTCCTGCATAGAACAGGACCCCTGCTGCTCTGTCTCCCATCCAGGCACTGACCAGGCCCAACCCTACTTAGCTTCCAAGACCAGACGAGGTCGGGTGCGTCCAGGGTGGTAGGGCCGTAGACAGGACCCCTGTTGCTCTGTTCCCCTCTGTTCCGACTTAGTTTCTCAGCACATCTGACCACCCACTTTCGTGGGACTGTGTGTTGTCCCTGCCCTCAGCCACCTGTCAGCTGCAGGAGCTCAGTGTGCCCTGCCCTGGAGCCGTGCCTGGCACAGCACTGGCCCTCGTGTGCTAGACCTGAGAGCAGCCCTCTTGTCTCCCCCAGAGTTTCCTAACCTTCGTTCCCGACACACCTGGTGGTCGGGGCGGTGGCTGGTGTCCGTTCTACGTCAGGTTTGCAGTGGCTTGTCGCTACACTTGCCTGGAGACACTAGCGGCTGTGTCCTCGTGTTCAGGGTTGAAGTTCTGGAGTTAATTGTTCAACTGTCCGATTGAGGGGGCTTGGGGTCTGACTTTTCCCCCTTTCCTTTTTGCACGTTCTCTTCGTCTGCCCGTTTCGGGGAGTCAGTCCTGGACATGACAGCGCATGGAGTGACGGCCAGCTGCAGGAAGTGGCCCAGTTGAGGATGAGACACCAGGAAGAACTGACGGAACTGCACAAGAAGCGCGGGGAGGTGAGGGTGGCTGCTGTCCTCTCCTGTCTTCTGCTCTGCGTGGGTCTTGTGGTGGGAAGGGTGGGCGGCCGCCCTGGCTCTGGTGGCATCTGTCCACAGAGCTGGGCCAACCCCACGGGCCCCCTTTCCCCTCTAAAAATGAAGCAGCCCGCTGTTCCTTAGTTTTCATCCGAGGCCCTGACATCTGCGTTCACGAGAGTGTTCTTCCTACCCACAGTTAGCACAGTTGGTGATCGATCTGAATAACCAAATGCAGCAGAAGGACAGGGAGATGCAGGTGAATGAAGCAAAGTGAGTAGAGATAACACCTTCCTCGGGACTGGTCGTGGGATCGTGCCCCTGCTTTCTGTACTCTGTGGGCAGGGCCGGTGGTGGGCAGTGACAGGTGGCAGCCGTGTTGGCTTCACCGGGAGTGCCGTTTAGTGCGTGCAGAGCCAGGGATCTCTTTCTGCCTGCTGGAGACAGGGCGAGGGGAGGCGAGGACAGTTCCTGCAGTCTTCCAGGTCCCTAGCATACTCCTTGGGAGCACCTCTGGCCCTTGCAGGCGTCTCTGCGGCATTTGCATTTCTCCCCACGGCCACCGGGTGTGGCAGTTGGTGTCTGCTGTGGTGGAGATGGGGCCAGGATAGTGAGTGTGTGGTTCTCGAGAGCAGAGATGAGTTTGTGGGCAGGATTATTCTTGATGCAGGAGAAGCCTGGCAGACATGATAAACAGGGAATCCAGCCTTAGTTTCATCGGTGCCTTTTTCCTTAATATGCAGAGAGAGGCATCTAGAGGCCTAGAAAGGTGGAGAACCTTTTCAGGTGTTCTTGCTCCGTGAATGACGGAGCTGGTGGAGTACGTAGGCTTTCCAGCCTCTTAAGCCTCCATTGACCACTAGGTTAAGCAAAGGCTCCCTCCTTCAAACCCCGCTTTTCTGAAAGGTGCTCTAATAGTCCTTCATAGTCCGGATGAATCTGACTGCAGATGCTTCCCCTCCTAGTGGGGTGTCCCAGTGGTTGGGGCCGGGCTAAGCCGAGGGAGGCGTGGTCAAGAGGCAGTCTCCTGCATGGTGCCTGGCGTGATGGCTGAGGCGCCTGAGTGAGTACCACCGAGCACCGGTCCAGGTCCTCTGGCCCCGGTGCAGGGCTCCCACGTGGCGCCATCCCTTCCCTGCGTGTCTGCTTTCAGAATCGCAGAGTGCTTGCAGACGATCTCCGACCTGGAGACGGAGTGCCAGGAGCTGCGCAGTAAGCTGCAGGACCTGGAGAGGGCCAACCAGACCCTGAAGGACGAGTACGACGCCCTGCAGATCACGTTCACTGCTCTGGAGGAGAAGCTGAGGAGAACGTCGGAGGAGAACCAGGAGCTGGTCACCAGGTGGATGGCCGAGAAAGCCCAGGAGGCCAACCGCCTCAACGCGGAGAATGAGAAGGATTCGAGGTGGGAAGCGAATCCACGAGTGGGCTCCTGGTTTTGTGCAGCTGCACCTAGGTCTTTGAAAACAAGGAAGCAAATCTGGCAGCTCCAACCGCAGGGTGGGGGGATGCCAGAAAACACTAACGAAACTAGAAGTAGCAAGGGTGGATTTAAAGAGATTTACATTTATAAGAACACTGAGCAAAGGATTACCTCTCCACAGGGCTTTGGCCCATGCTGATTTTGCCAGTGAATTCTTTGAGTGGTTTTATTTATTTATTTATTTTTAGAGAGAGGGGAAGGGAAGGAGAAAAAGGGGGAGAGAAGCATCAATGTGTGGTTGCCTCTCATGTGTCCCCTACTGGGACCTGGCCTGCAACCCAGGCATGTGCCCTGACTGGGAATGGAACTGGTGACCCTTGGCTTCACAGGCCTGCGCTCAATCCACTGAGCTACGCCAGCCAGGTCTTTTAGTGTTTTGTAGAGAAAAGCTAATTTTTGAGTAATAAAAATACTAAACCAGAATTAGAAAAGATTGAAATCCCTCCGAGTTTTGTAAGACTATTTAGGCCCATACCAAAAAATCTGATTTTGCTCGTGTACAACCTCACATGAACTTAGATGTGAAATTCCTAAGTCAAACTCATTGGTACGTTTTTTAAAAAATCCTGTGCAACTCTGCTAGGATTTATCCCCAAAATTAAGAGATGGTTTATTGGGAAAGCAATTAAATATTCCTTGTTGGAGAATAAACGATGTGACCACTTTACTAGATCCGGAAATGGCCATTTGCTCAGATTCAGTTCCCGATCCTGAAAAAAAACCCCTTAAACTGGGAACAGAAAGTTTTAATAAAAACAGCCAATAGTGTGTGTAACAGAGGCAATAGGAGTTAGTGCCTTCAGGGAAATCTGTGAAAATTCCCGCAGAGAGACTCCTGCGTGTGTGACAAAGGTCCATCATCCTGCGTGCATCCCCATCCAAACCAGAAAGGGGGGGGGGGGCTGGCTGGTCTTGAGAGATGTTTTGGCCATCCAGCTGGAGAGGAGGCCAAACCCAGAGCGGGTGGGCAGGATGGGGGTGGCCATGGTGACCCACTAGGAAACCCAGGAAAGAGTCGTCTTAGACACCGAAGGTACGACTTCACCAGAGGCTGGAACCCAGGGCTTTAGGTCCGGTGTCAGTAGTTGAGCATCTGAAAAGATTATTGCAGTTACTCTAAAACAATGAATGAAGATAAGAGTCTTAGTAATAGCACTAACCCTACCAAATAATGTACTGAACCCTAAGGTAGAAATAGAAAATGTGACCGTTTATTTACTTTGTAAAAAGTTCCTAAATCAAGTGTTGGAGGACTTTCTAAAGGTTAGAAGAAATGGAAATAAAGAGTAGACTGGGTAAAATTTTTAGGCTACTGAGAAAGAACATAGACAGGACATGCTGTTATAAAATAGGTATCTTTAACAGCATCAGTAAGGAATGGTGGGTGCTGTGACAGGTCATGAGAGTAACCATGGTCAGTAAACCCATCAGCAAGGGCTTTTGGGAGGCAGGTGAAAGGGCGGTGACTGGCAGCCCATTTGTACAGCCTGGAGGACAGTGGGGTGACTGGGAGGGATCCCGAAAAGGGTCCCCGCTTGTTGGGCTTCTATCTGAGGAGGTAATGAGACGGGTTCCCAAGTGCTGAGATTGCTTGCCATTCATCGTGGTGAGTAAGTAGAAGCAGCGTGTCCCTCGGGAGATAAATCAGTGGTGATATTTTCATACAGTGGGTTTTTTTCTTTTTTAGTTTTCTGTATTTTCTAACTCTTTTCAGTTTCTACCATATTATGAACAAGTATTTTACATTGTCTCTGCCTGGTGTTTACTGTGAGTGGAATAGCTTGGCCTAGGCCTCGGAGCTCGGAGGCAGCCGGAGAGCGGGGAAGGCTAAAGGGCTGCCTGAGAGCGTTTCGCTGCCTGCTGGAGGGGCGATGTGGGAGCGAGTGGCTGCTGAGGAGGAGCCCTGCAGCCTCCGTGCATGGGGAGGACAGTGCAGGCTCTCTGATGAAAGTGGTCTTCGGGAATGTTCTCTGGGGGGTGTGCACATGGACGCGCCATCATCTGCTTGCCTGTGTGGGGCCTCGGGTGCTCTTCATTACATTTCTCAGGTAGTTCCTTCTTAGAAGCTTTCCCCTTCCTGCCCCCCTCCCACACACACACACGCACAAGATTACTGTCCTTCCCCTTCTAGCAGCTTCTGTTCACCTGGCTCAGCATGGCACACGGCTCTGAAATGGCCGGTCATGCCCTCCTCCCTCACTAGGCTGCGGCATGTGCCACAGTCCATCACTGCGGCTGCTGCGGAGCTGAAGGAGTGGGAAAGCTGTCTTCTTTCATCTGTTCTAGAAGGGCGGGGGCAGGTGTTTCCCTCCTCTGAGACCTTAGGGCTGGCTGCCCTTGACCCCCTTGCGGACGGGGGCCTTCCGCGTGGAGGAGTGTGGCCCCCGCGCCGCGCACCGACATGCTGCCTCTTCCTCAGAGACTGCTCTGAGGGCGCGTGTTCCGACTGGGGAAATTCGTTAAACTGGTCTTTGGGTCACTTGTAAAACTTTTCATCTTCCAGGTGTAACATTAAGGTTGTAATGTACTTTTTCAAACTATAATAATCTCGTTCCGTCCCAAGATTCTGGGATGTCACCTGGAGGACTTACCCCCATTTCGGGAATTAATCTTTCTGCTGGAAGCTTAAAAAGAATTGTAGCAGAATTCTCGACTGGAGCTCAATAGCAGGCTGGGGGTGAACCCCAGAGGGAGGCCCAGGCAAGAAAGTGGGTAGCGCCCGCATTTGGGACTTGGGAAGGAGAGCAAGAGTGGTTTTTACGAGAGTGGATGTGACCGCTGGCAGCATTAAAACCCTGCCGCAGCCGAGACCTCCGGGTCCAGCCCCACGAGCTAAAGTCTTATGCCTTCTGGTGACTGAAGACTCGGTGTACCTCCATGTCCGTGTCTATAAAGTGGGAATGTTGTCACTCAGCCTCGGAGCATGGTTACAAGGACTGAACGAGTTAATACATGTAAAATAATAGAACTGAGCCAGGCGCAAGCGTGATAAATTCCAAGTAAATCTTAACTTATTCTTCAGGCCCCTGGTGTGCTGGTGGAGACTGTTGCTGCAGAAAGCGAACCGAGTCTAACCCTGGTTACGCCCGACACGCCTTCCGTCCCGTGCAGCCCTCGGTGCCATCAGGCTGGCTCTGCGTGCTGGTTCACTGCCTTCTCTAGTAACAGTCCTTCCTCCAGGTTTTGCTCTGAAGTCCTCCATAATGAGATCTTCACTGCTGTTACCAGTGTGGCTTTGGGGCTTTGGTGTCTTTGCCTAGGGCAGTTGTTACTTCGAGTGCAGTGAATATTTGGCTGTGTTCTTAGAGCTAGTTGATTAAGAGCCAAAGCCCCGTGCTGTCTCTGAGCAAACATAAATAGTGGGCTTTATTTATTTATTTATTTATTTATTTATTTATTTATGAAATAGGAGGCGGCAAGCCCGGCTGCAAAAAGAGCTCGCAGAAGCAGCGAAGGAACCTCTACCAGTGGAACAGTAAGTAGAGATATGAGAATCAAAACTGTGCTCTTATTAATGTGATTTACTCCTTTTAAATAGTTTGTTTTTAAATGTCTGTGAAACTGTTTTATAGATAGTCAAAAGAGGGGTAAAAGATTTCAGGGAGAAAATTAACGCTCATTACCTTCCAGAAAGTCTTTCCCGCTTGTTGTGGGCTGTGAGCGTGAGTTCTGACTTCCTGCACGCCGACAGCCTCGCTGTTTTCCTGTTGGCACCGACCAGGTTCTGCCCCGAGTGGGGCTCGGGCAGCTCGATGCTGGGCTGGGTTCTTCTCCTGCTCTCTTCCTGTGTGACTTTAAGTGGACATTTGGGCAAATCTTAGAAGCATAAGAGAAGGCGGGGTTAGTTGGAGCCTCTCCTAGTCTGGGGCTGGGGTGGAGGGTCTGCCTGCCCGAGAACCGAAGCTTTATTTTGAGGTGGTGGGTGTTCTAACGGCTGAACTTTTTTGCCTCTAGTTTTTTAATAGTTGCTTCCACATAGGTGGAGAGGAGTGGTTTAAATTCAATTAGTAGCCGTCTACCAGGCAGAGAGGTCTTTATTGGTAAGAAAACAAGACCGTCCTCACACCGAGCCTTCACTTTAGGTGTAGCCTGTGCATTTCTTCTGCGTGCTTCAGTTGTGCAAAAGGAACTTCATGTGCCTGTTCCCCAAACTGCCAAGTAGATAAATAATTGACCTGGAAATGAGATTTGATTTAGAAATAACAGCGTACGAAGCCTCGTTTGCCTGCCTCCTGTTTGCTAGCATGAACAGGTGACTGGGTGTCACACAGTTCGGGTGGTTGAACGCACAGAAAGGGGCTGAGCTAGGATGCAGACCGGGGCTCTGACGTGCAAGGCCTGTGCCTAATCTCCGTGCTTCCCTGAGAGAGGTGTTTCTGGGGGAAAAGACACTTCTGTCTTTGAAGGGTTTGGTAATCGGCTGCCAGACCCTGGTGTTTGCTCGTGGCCCTGGGCATTTGCAGAGTTCTGATACTTTTATGGCTGTGAAATTCTACCTGAGAGCATTTACATGGGCTCAGCTCACGTTTGCTACTCCTGCCCTCTCTGCTGGTCTGTCCTCGCCCTGTGTGTACACGGCCGACTCCCCAAACCACGGCCAGAAGAAAAGGAAGCCTGGCCTTGGCCTCTTTCTTCAGGCCTGCCTTTGTCCCCTCTGCACCCTGGCCCGACTGGGCTCAGTGGCATGGAATCCTAGAATCAATAGCCTAGGAAAATAAGTTTACTTTGATTTGGTTTAACTTGCTTGGTAACAGGTTCTTAAGTATATATTTACTTTATCCAGACAATCAATCATGAAAAAAATCTTGCTTTCAAGTTCTTATGAATCGAAAAGTTAGGGGATATAGCCTTGGGTTATTACATCTTATTATTTTACTTCTCCCTGAAGATTGCAACTTGGTAGGAGGTCACTAAGACCAAAATAATTACTTGCTCTCCCCCCTTCCAGGAAGAGGGGGGAGGAAGGAGAATTCCAGAGGCACTTTGTGTCCCGTGGGTAAACAAAGCAGATGCAGTGGGCTCCCCAGATGTCAGGGGCCCTGAGTACGTCGACTGTACAGTACCCGAGTCAAAAGGGGTTGTGTTTAGATTTTAACAGAGCTTTTAAAAACTTTCCTGTTTTTTATATTATTAAAGTAATATTTAAAATGGTTGTTAAGGCAACTGCTGATTTCATTGCACTTTTATCGGTTCCATTTCTTATTCACTGGGACCTTCCCCCTATACTCGATTTCCTGTGCTTCATATCTGCCCCTTCCTGTCCTCTGAGCCCCTCCACTGTCTCACGGGAACTGTGCACTGGTGAGTATAGTCCAGTTGTCCGAGGGTAGGAGCCTGTCAGCTGCAAACCAGACTTCTGATGGAAAGACTGCCTTGGTTCTGGTTAGGTGGTTTTGGACATAATAAACTGTTATTTAATTGCTTTCTAAGTGGAATTTAAAGGATCAAAAGCTCACTTTTAAGGTTATTTTCTGCTGCAATTCTGGATTTGGATGGAACAGGTCGAGTGTTTAGAGCATGGCAGTTCCTTTTCCTCCAGCGAACCTTTAACCATCTCTGTCACCGCAAAGTCACATAGATAGTGCGTGACTAGGAAGTGGTGTTAGCGTCTGCAGAACAGACTCATCACAGTGTGCCTGTTGAGCAGAGTCAGAGACTCGGCCTCCTGCCCTTCTTTCCAGGGACGATGACATTGAAGTCATTGTGGACGAAACCTCTGATCACACCGAGGACACCTCTCCCATGCGAGCCATCAGCAGAGCGGCCTCGTAAGTAGCTGGGTCCGGCCGAGGAAGGAGGGCCGGGGTGCAGGTGGGCAGCACGTGGTGGCCCGACAGAGCAGTCCAGCGCACCCAGCCCTCTCCCCGGCACTGCGGCCCCTCTCGCACAACCGTAGAGACCAGTGGGCTCCCCGTATTCCCATCTTGCACTTAACAGGAGGCGGGCGTCCCTTAGTGCTGCCGCCAGCTGAGAAGGGGAGCAGGGAAAGGTTCAGCAGCCTCCCCAGGGGGACAGTTCAAACCTTGTCGGGCAGGGTGACTATTTAGATCATACTGTTTATCTTACTTGGGCTCCGTGGTTCTTTTGATTTGGTAAAGCAGGACTGAAAGAATGGGGATTGGTTATTAACAGCCAGTTAGGCGGTTTCATTGTCAAAAACATTGTTTTGGGGGAAGCTAATTAATGCTAGGGAACCTTGTCTCCTCTTAAAACTTCGAGGCTGGGTTTTCCTCCCTCCGGCCCACTGTTGTCTGGTGGCTTGTACTGCGGTGGGCTTCTCGGCTGGGGTTTGGGAACTCGGGAAACGTTCTTAGGTGCCTGTTTTCATGGACTGTTTTTATTGATTGATTATGTGGGGAAAATGTTTCTAAGGTTTAAACCTATCCTCCCCCTCCTCTTTAGTAAGCGACTCTCGCAGCCTGCTGGAGGCCTTCTGGATTCTATCACTAATATCTTTGGGTAGGTTAGAAATCCTTCACCTTCCCTTGTCGATAATGTGTGTGAATACACCTAAGTCTGTGTACGTGATTTATTATAATTTCTGTAAGCACACACCAGAATTTCAGTGGTGCAGACTGTACAGGTGCCTTCATGTCAGCTTTTCATTTGGCTTCTTCCTTTTTCCTCAACTCCCTTTCTCTTACTCCTGCTGCGTGGTGATCTCGGCCTTACCCTCTAGTCTGTCCGAGTCTCCCCTGGCGGGACATCACTCTTCCGACGCTGCCAGGTGAAACCATTATCCACTCTTACTACCCCGGCATGCAGGTGCGGGTCATTGATAATCACGCTGATCGCTGCTTCGCTGCCCCCGATCATCCGTGTCAGTGTGCTAACTGAGACGCTTTGCATGTTCCCAGGGCTGCTGCAGCCTCTGAGCGGGGCGATGGGGTAAGCGCTTTGTCCGGCAGCCACACTCTCTCCGCCCTTTCTTCCCGTGCGTTCAACTTCACCCTGACCGCAGTGTACGCTGAGGATGATTGTGACTGGGTGTCGAACGTCTTTACACTGTTTTACAAAACCACCAGCGAGCTCCTCCTGAGCCGGCAGTTCCATTACGTTGGGAACGTTCTCCGGGAGTCTGCTGACTGGGAAGCGGTTGTTCTGTATTGCTTCTCGGTGTTGAGTTTTGGAGCCCGTGAGTGGGCAAGCAGAGAATGCAAGTGTGTGCCGCCTGTCTTCCCAGTTGTCGTTGCAGTGAGGATGCTTCTCATTTGGCTGGTCATTCTGTAAAGGGTCCAGGAGGGAAGAGAAGCTGTTGGTTAATAAAGGTCTTTGAATCCCTTCTGGGTTTGGTGGACCATTAGCCTTGCGCAATCTCGTCTGACCTTCTCCTTTATGTTATTCTTAGGAGGCGCTCCGTCTCTTCCCTCCCAGCCCCCCAGGACAATGTGGATACTCATCCTGGTTCTACTAAAGAAGTGAGGGTCCCAACGACTGCAGTGTGTGTCTTTGTAAGTACGACAGACCCCCCCCCTCCGCCCCAGCCTCGTGTGGTAGCAGCAGCACGGCAATGAACACTTGGGTCCTTTCTCCGGCTGCAGCCGAGCTTTCCCATGCTGTCTTTATAGCGGGCCATTACACCCGTCGGCTCTGTCCGATGGGACGGAGTCATGTATTTTGCTGAGTGTAAGATGACAGAATTTCCGACAGCCATCCTCCGCAATACAGGACTGGCTGAGAGGATTGGAAGCAGGAGGGATGGGGCAAAGGAAGACTAATCAGGGTGGTAAGAAATTAATAATTCACGGAGTTGCTGTCACCAGTTGGCTCCAGTTCAGAGAGTCAGAGTCTAGTCAGTGGCCTGTGGTGAAGGATCAGTAGGGTGGCTGTTGGCTTTGTGATTTTTCTGCGTACCTGTGAGACTTCAACCTCTAGGAGCTTGTGGTTGGTAGGAGGAGTCAGTTCCTGGCAGGAGCCAGTGTGCCATTAGGGCTGTCAGCTGGAGCTCAGAGCTGTGTCCCAGTACAAAAGGATAACATGGTCCCTGCTGGGGAGGGGGGGGGGGGCGCAGACACGGCCAGCTGGGGAAGTGGAGAGCGCCTGGCTCGGGGCCCTCGAGTGCAGAGGTGGACAGGCAGACAGGAGGAGCCGGGCCCAGACCGCTGGGCTGACTCTCGGCTTGTGTGCGGTGCCTCGGAGGAGCCAGCTTTCAGGGGAGAGAAGGACTTGCTATAAAAACGGGGTGGGATTTATATGGGGGAGTTTTCAGTTCCAGGTGTAAGGGGGGACTTGCATAACTAGATATGTGCACACCGTGACCTGGCTGAGCCATGGACTGCCTTGGACGTTGTCAAGGGAGCCCCGCCGCGCAGGCCCGGGCGCCTCCCAGAGGTCGATGATGATTGGTAAAAGGTCTGATCGCACCCGATGTCACAGCCCTTCCTTGCCCTCAGCTCCCAGCAGCCCATTTTCCCCCCGTCACATTTAAGTTGTGTGCACGGGGCAGTGGAGCGGCTGACACCCGGGAATTCTGTCAGAGCGTGTTCCGAGAGTGGACGGTTCACAGCTGGCAGCCTTCCAACAGAACCAGCGATCAGGAGGCTGATGAGCGGCAGCCGTGGGTGTGGCGGTGCGTGATCTCAAGTTTTCAATCTGAGACCTCTGTGGTGGGGTGTTTTTAAACAAAGACAAGGCAGAGGATTGCATGGAGCAAAGAGGCTTGGTCCCCTGTCATACAGCTTTTCAGCAGTGGGACATGGAGGAGGGGTGGGGACTGAGATCACCAAGCAAAGGAAGAGGAAAGTGCCGTTTGCATCAGGTCAGATACTAGAGTCATGCTCGCAATGACAGTTTAGCATCTGGTTCAGCCCCGAGCAAAGGTGCTGATTGGGAAAACGATTGATGACCTGTTTAATAGTCTAATATTTTTTCAATTTTTTAAATTTAATTATTTTTCAACTACAGTATTCTGTCTTTTACTCCCATCCCAGCCCACCCCCCAGTGCTCCCTACTTCCCTCCCATTTCTACCCCCTTAGTTGTTGTCCATGTGTCCTTTATACTGGTTCCTGTAAATCCTCCCCCTTTTCCCCTGAAATAAATGGTCTAATATTTATAGTCCATGTTTTCCATGGTCTTTTTGTTTCTTTTTGTTACGGAAATTTTCAAACAGAAGTGGGGAGTAAAAGAACCTTATTCATTTTCAAGTTTCAATCATAGGTAACATCCAGTAGTACGTTTTAGTCAGTGCCTATGCTCAAAGAGAGGAGTTATATGGACAGCTTCTAGTTTTCTCACTTCCCATTCTCAGATGGGTTGCTTTTTACTTGGTTTCCCTTATCCTGCACACAGATGCCCCTTGTCACATCACGTGTTTGTGTGTGGAAGCCAGACTCAGTGATTTCCCTCTGGTGACTTCGAACTCACCCCAAGTAGCACCTGTTTAGTTCTCTTGATGGTCCCGTGGTCAGGCACAGGTCCGGGCCGCAAGACCTTTTTGTAGGTGAGCAAACGGAGGCTCCGGGACAGGGAGAGGCTTGGCGGGGGCCGCGTGCTAATGCACACGAGGGCCTCCACGGGTCCCACTCGAGCTCTGCTGCATGGCTCTGGCACTGGCATCCACCCGTATCCGGGCCCCGAACCAGAACTAGAACTAGAACATGTTCATGTTTGCGAAGCCATGGCAGCTTGCTTTGTTGGGGAACCGTGCTGTCTAGTGCACAGTGAGACAGGCATTCATTCAGTCTGGACCAGAGAGGCAGGTATTCCCAATCTTACATTAAAGCTATTAAGATCATCCAAGAATATATATATTGAAATTTTCTATTCTTAGAAGAATTAAAATTTCATTGATGTGGAAACAAACTTTAAGCAGTTAGTTAACACAGATTTTTGAATCCTTTCCAAGAAGCTTGCACTGTATTTAAATAAATGGAACTGGGAGCTACCAGAACAGAGTGACAGTGGAGTCTTAGGAAAGCCTGGGCTAGGAGCCCAAGTTAGTTTGTGCTGGGATCCCCTCCCTTTAGGTATGACTGTTCAGCCTTGGGTGAGACGTCCCGGGGGGCTGGCTCTTCCTCCGTGGGAATGACAGTGCTGGGTCTGAGAGGGCGCTTGTCTTGCAGGATGCACATGATGGGGAAGTGAACGCCGTGCAGTTCAGTCCTGGCTCCCGGCTGCTGGCCACAGGAGGCATGGACCGGAGGGTCAAGCTCTGGGAAGCATGTGGAGGTGAGATCCCACGGGAGGTGCAGAAGGGAGCTGTGTTGGTGGCATTGGTTGACCTGGATTCAGGCAGCCTTCGCGTGGTTCATCTCAGAACGCAGCACATAGTTTCAGGGGCCTGACCAGAGCATCGCTGCCATCTTGGTTACAATCCAGAGCCAAGGAGGGCTGCTCTGAGTTTCTAGGAGGTGGTGGGAGATGCGGTGAGGTTATGGGTGTGGGTGTGTGTTTGAAATAGGTACAATCAGGACATCATCTGAGATAGTAGAGGTTTTAGAAGGAAAACGAAAAATCAAACAGCCATGGACTCTAATTAAACTACACATAAAACTGGCTTACGAACTTAATAATACCAGTGGGCATGACCTTGAAAAACCATGTTTAACAACAGCTTACCAGAAAAGGTAAGCTGTCTGTACTACCATACAAGGGCCCTGAGATCCGAACTTTGTCCTTGATTAGGCCTGTTTCGGAAACAAGTGGGGAATGGGACGCACCGCAACAGGGAGGTCTGGAGCTGGGGCATGGCCCAGTTTCGACACGTTGAGATTCGGTTAAATGCACATGCATGCACTTTAATAAAGCAAGGTCAGAGGTTAGGCTGAAGAGGTTTTTATAGGAACCACGTCAAGTCCCCACAGTTACAACACATACACGCTCATTGCCCCACGGTTAGCGGTTCCCGTGGGCCTGTGTTGGTTATTCCCTGTGCTTCTCACAGTAGCCCCGTGCAGCTAGAGGTGGGTGTCACCCACATTCTGAACTCAGGGAGACAGGTTTACATAGGTGATTCACACGACTGGTAGGTGATTCTGGGGGAAAGGAGAGGTGGAACCTAGTAGCCAAGCTGGGTCTTCTGGCTGCAGATTCCTTTTTTCCACGACAGCCTCCCCTAAGCGATGGAGCTGCTGAAGACCCCTGCAGGGGGCAGTCTGTCAGTCCTGTGGGCCAGAGTGGGCAGTCACGGCAGCCCCAGCCCGTCCGCCCTGGAACACCAGGGCAGGGTCACAGGATAGGGACTTCCTAGGTAAATCCCTGGCTGTCACAGCTGGTTGAAGCTGTTAGAACTTGTGCTGTTTCACCCTGGAACAACTTATGAGTGACAACTGCTGAGACTGTTACAAAATAATAGTAAAGCTGTAAGAAGAGAAATTTTAGGAGGTTTGGTTTTTAAAATCTAAGCAGATGGTCTGTCTTGACTGTGCCTTGTGAGTAATTAGAAGTAACACTAGAAGTATATTGGTTTTACTTCTTGGTCGGTAAAAACGACTATAAGGAAATTAGAAGACCAACATTTGCTGTTTGTGCTGCAGGAGAGGAAGTAAACACTCATCGAAATTAATGCTGACGTTGTAGGTGCCAGCATCAATTAGTGTTCATAAAGTAAAAGTTTCTCCCAGGTCTACAGAAGAACACTAAACGTTTGGCAGCATTTTAATAGTTTTCAGGAACAAATAATCTGTCCTGTCGTGTTCTAGCTGATTGTAGGGCCTCATCCCTCGGCCCGTCCGGGCCACAGTTCTGTCCCTCGGAAGAAGGGCACATCCCACCTAGTGCATTCCCTCCCCATCCTTGCTCATTCCCTCCGGGGCAGGGGTCACAGACCCTCCCCCGGGGGCCTTCTAGATAAATGGGCTCGAGTAAGATATTTGGTCTTTTGAGATGACTCTCCTGTGTGGGATTGCATTTATTGATCATTTCTTACATTTTGGCTGCCAAACAAATAGACTAATTTTGGGGGCATAAGCCAGAGAGATATATCTTAGAGTTTGCAGTAAAAATTTTGTCTGTGAAAGTACAATCAAAATAAAGACCTTAATCAGTGGGTGTTAGCCTTTTTGGCTCTTGAAAATCGAATGAAAGCTAGGATCAGGAAAGAGACATTTAAATGTGTTAGGTTTTGCGAATAAATTTAGAGGTGGAGTGCACTGACCGGGTTAATAGTCCCGGCCCTAATGTATTCGACAGCTCTGTACCTGTATCCATGTTACTGTTATTTAGAAATGTTACTGAGAGGTTCGTGGAAATGTTTTCTCCTGTGCTGTTTTATGAATTTGGTTAGAACGGTCCCCTAATTGTTTTTCTCGCTTGTCGACATAGCTCATCCTTACGCTGCCTTTTAAAAAGGGGCGTCATCACGTCATCACGGAGACTTGTACTCCTCTAGCTCGTGTCTGTCTGCATCAGTGGGGTTGCCGTGTGTGGGGCCAGCGCTGCCTGGCAGCAGCGCCCAGGAGAGTGGCCGGCTCTGTTGGTGAAGGGGAGCACTGGCAGGCAGCTGGATGGCCAGACTCTCGGGGTTCACGGGCATAGAGCGAGCTCAAGGACAAGTCACAGAAATGCCAAAGTAGTGTAACCAGCATTCTTACAACTAGACACTTACACGTGTCTAAAATGAAAACTCCTTTTTCGACCTCAAATGAGAATCATCACACCTGGACTTTGAAAATTTGATGGTCTGTTTCTACAAAACTGATAGTTAAATTGGCACAAACACTGGTCAGACCCAAAGATGTATTTATGTAAATTAGAAAACTGCACTGAGATGTAACAGAACTGAATGAAACTCTTAAGTTGATTGGCATATTTATGCTATATTTCGTCAAAAGAACTCACATGCAGAATGCGGGGCTCTGCATCCACCCACGCTTTCCTGGCTCTCAGAAACCGGCTGCGGGGGGTCATGGTGTCACACCGATAGTCCTCCTGGTGACTGCTGGCACAGGAGTGCTGCTACCCTGACCGTGGAGGAGGCTCCTGTTGGGTTTCGGGCGCCCTATTTTACCTCGCGTCGTGGCCTGAGCTTTTCCCGTCTTTCCATCCAGACAAATGCGAGTTCAAGGGCTCTCTCTCCGGCAGCAACGCGGGCATCACAAGCATTGAATTTGATAGTGCTGTAAGTATCAGCTATCTAGGGAAATGGGTGAGTTTAGAGGTGCTTAGGAGCAGTTTAAGACACCTGGGTTTCAAAATTTAAAAATAATCTGCCTGCTGTTCATCTTGAGTAAAATCAGTGTTAGAGGTGGTGCAGGTAGATCACACATTCTGGGCTGGCCATGTTGAAGACTGTTGGGGAGGTAGCTCAGTGTTTACCCAGTCAGTAAGCATCTTTGCAGACTGGATCAAGGCCCCGGTTTGGGCCAAGGCCTTGTGCACGGAGACGAGGGTGTCCAGCTAGGCCTGTGCCAGAGATGAGCAGATCTCCAAGTGGGTAGTGGGAGGGGAGGCATGGGAAAGTCGCTTCCTCTGGGGCACCCTGGCTTAAACGGCGTATGGCAGGGGTACCAAACTCATTTTCACCAGGGGCCACATCAGCTTCACGGTTCTCTTCAAAGGGCTGAAATAATTTTAGGACTGTATAAATGTAACTTCTTAACTGTTAAGGAGTTGAAATTACATTTGGCCCCTTGAAGGCAGCTGGGAGGCTGCCGTGGCCCCCAGTGAAAATGAGTTTGACACCCCTGCTGTAGAGAATTAGCACTTGCCATTACCAAAGGCAGGTGGAGGGATGTGAACGCAGGCGGCCGGGTTCCGTCTTGAGCTGGAGGGTCTGCAGCATTCGGGCAAGATTGGGCAAGTTTGGGGGAAGGTCTGAATGTGACAGACGGGTGAGTTGACGGGACGTTGGTGGTAATGATTGGTATTTGGGTCGGGTGTGTGGTTTCAGACATCTAGACCTTCTTGGACTTGATACTGGGGTGTTTTACTGTGGAAACCAAATTCCTCTCTTCTGGCTGAAATTTGTCTCCCCCTTTATTCCTATAGGGATCTTACCTCTTAGCAGCTTCAAATGACTTTGCAAGCCGAATCTGGACGGTGGACGACTATCGATTACGGGTAAGGCCCGGTTAGGAAGTTCAGTAAAATCTCCAGACTTCCGTGGTTCTCGAGGTGCAACATGCTGGCAGCGGCAGGGCCATTCGTTTAGGAGAACTGGGTGTGTTTTCCTGAAAATCGTACTTGGTTCCCCTGCCCCTCTCTGTCCTCCTTGGGAAAATTCGTTTCCACTTCACACTGTCACTCTGTCCAAGGTTCAGGGTCGGACATCTGCAGTAGGAACCCCCCCGATTTCTGTGAAAGATGTGGGACGCGCCTCTTCATAAGAACGAGGTGCTTTCTTAGATACCCGCCTTAGCCCAGCTCCCGTGATCTAAGTGCCAGCTTGCACTGGGTCGGCCGAAAAGTTCGGTGGTTGTTTCCATACTGTGGCTCTAGTAGTGCTTAGTTGTGCTCTAATTTCATTTGAAACCATTTTGTTAGATTGTATTGTGACAGCTGTCATATCAGTGTGCGTTTAAAAAAGAAAATTATCAAAACTGGTCAATTTTTGTGCAGCCAGTTTAGTATCGAAGATGGAAGAAAATATGCAACATTTTCAGTGTATTATGCTTTATTACTTCAAGAAAGGTAAAAACACAACTGAAATGCAAAAAAAAAAAAGGATTTGCTCCATGTATGGCAAAGGTTCTGTGACTGATCAGATGTAACAAAAGTGGTTTGCGAAGGTTCTTGGTACTGTTGACATTTTGGCCAAATAGCTCTGTGCTGCGGGCTGTCTCAGGCACTGGAAGGTGTTGAACAGCACCCCTGGCCTCCCCCCGCTATAAGGCAATAGTGGGAGATAGTCAACGTACTCAAAAAGGAGTATGTTGGACACTCATGTATCCTTTATTTTACAGGGGAAAAAACGGACTTTGTGGCCAACCCAATAACTTGTGTTTTTTCCAGCCTCCAGGATTGGTCACAGTTGCAGAGTGTGGCTGGAAAGCAGGCTGCAGACATGCCCGTGGGCGCGCTTACGATCGAGGGGCAGCAGCTCTGAGACAGCTAATTCGAGGAGTCGGGCGGGACAGGGAGGGGCCGGGGGGCCGGTGTGGAGGGAACCTGCGTCTGAACCTGACTCATTGAGAAGTCTGTTGGATTCCGCCACAGACCAAAATGTGAGGGCTGTGTCGCCTGTGTTACAGTGAAAGACATAGCTTCAGTTGGAGACTGGTTTTTCTCCTTAAGCTTGAAGGAGTTGTCACGTGAGCTCATTGAATAAGGGCTGCTGAAAGATAAGGTGGAGGATGAACCCGACCTTGGTAGGTGTTTTACCAGCAACCTTTGACAGCAGCTCTGTGTCGACCCAGACGGGAAACGGCGTTTCCTTGAAGGATCTGTGCGGGAAATGACCAGTATTAGAAGCTGGCAGACACAAAGAGGCGGGAAATCCCTTATTCCTAGTTGAAAGAAGATCCAGGGCTACACCTTCCAAGTCTGAGACATGAAGACGACAGAGATTGTGTCCTCTTGTGACAGCTAAAGTGGCCACCTGTGTTGTCATCTGAGTGAAGCAAGCGGAGTGGGCTGCCAGGGGCCCACGGGCAGGGCTGGACTCACCTCGGGCAACGGTTCACGTCTCTGTAGGTGCCGGCACGAAGTTTCAGTTGAAGCGTGATAGCTCTGCACCCCACACTTGGAAAAGATGGCCCAGCCTGTCCTCACGGCAGCCTCGTGCCCCGTCCCATGGTCTGTCATACTCCCATGACAGCTGAGCCCCTGCACCATCTCGTGAGTCCTTGCTGAAAAAATGGACGTAAAACCTGAAAGGAGCCTTAAGATTAAATACTAGAAATATCAAAAACACTAGATAAAAGGATTTTTAATCTGATCCACTTAAAATGAGGACTTTTTTATTGATAAAAGTGAACACTTGTAGGAGGCTCAGTTCCCCACCATCGAGAACATGGAGGCCTGAGGCAGGTCCAGCAGGGTCTCCACCAAGGCCAAGATGGGCAGAGGTCCAGACCTTGTAAGAAGCAGCTGACGATGCATCTGAAGATGCAACGAAGATGTCCCTTTTGTGTGCCCGGAGGTGTTCTCTGCAGCGTCATTCGTTACCATGAAACTTAGTGGCTTGCGTGTCTGCTGGCCGGGGGTTTCAGTGGCATTGATCCTCACCACATGAAGGTTATTTGCGATTACAGTCTTTATATGAAGGCTCCTGAGAGTGAGGGCGAGAGAAGGAAGGGTGGGTGCTGTCCCCCGAGTGCCGGCTTCATCCTCCCGAACCAGCAAGGGGAAGAGGCTCATCTGCTCAGATTAAGTTAGAGACCCCAGCTGTGCAGGGCCAAGTCCGTGTGACCCCAAGGCCTGGGCAGTTTCAGCTGTCACCTGAAAAACTGCTCATACCATGGTGGTAAAAAAGCTGTAGGCACATTCTTAGGAATATATTCACATGAAATACATGGAAATATTAGTGTGCACGTTTGTGTACAAGTGAGTGCAATCACATAGCCTGTCTGTGGGCCCTGTCTCCTCCCTGTTTGTGAAATGTGCCTTTCCTTGTGTAGGAAGGAAGAAGGCAGACGGTGCATGTGCACAGAACTCTAACTTTTTTATCTTCACCTGAGGACATGCTTATTGATCCTAGAAAGGGAGGGAACCATCGATGTGACAGAAACATCGATTGATTGATTGATTGGGTTGCCTTTTGTATCCGAACGAGTAACCTTTGCTTTGCAGGATGATGTCCAGCCAAGCCATGCAGACTTCTCAGAAAGGAGACACACTGTGGCTGGGTCTTCTGTCCCTGCACCCAGTGGGGCTGCTCCCCTTGGCTCAGAGGACAGCCAAGGCCCTAACTCCTTGACTGGACTGGGGCACTCTGAGGCCTCAGCTTTAGGAGTGGGGTTAGAACCCGTCGTTGCCAGTGAAGGGGGTCTGCTAGGGTCTTCTCCAAGGCTTTTTTTTTTTTTTTAATTAGAAAACATCAGTGAGTGCCTTCTGAGCCTCTGAGGTTCTGCAAAGATAACAGAGGTCAATGATGAGCAGTAAAAGGGCTGACCCCCAGGTCCCCACCCTGCACTCGCAGCATCCCCAGCCGCCTCACTCCCGTCTGGCCCCAGCAGTGCTCTGATGGGCACAAGGGTGGCTGACACACTGCGATGCCCCCGGTCTGTGCTCCTTGGCGAGCCCAGGGAGGGCACGTGGTTGGCATCCCACAGCCAGTCTGTCCAGGGATGTGATTGCAGGAGAGTGGTACCTGGTTCTGATCTGACTTTCACGCTGAGACCTCTGCTTGCAGACCCCCTGGGGCTTCCAGTTGTGTATTGAAGAGGCCTGATGTTTCCTTCTGTAAGGGCTTGGTGGGCCTGCTGGGAGCCAGTCTGTTCTGGCTTTAAGTAGGGAGCTGACTTTCAGAGGCACTGGCCGAAACCCAGGCTCTTAAAGTTTAGTGATTTCCTATCATCCAGACTCACAAAGAAGGTGCAGGAACAGTACAGGGAAAGCTCTGTAATGGGGCCTGTTTCAGAAAGGTCCTCTGGCTGCACCTCCTTTTTGAGAATGGGGGCACGTGTGGGGTTTTGGTTTTTATGGGTTTTTTTGTGTATGTTATTTGTGATGGGAGATTTATCCTCTTCCTCTTTGCATACCTCACCTCTGGGCAGCAGCCATAGTTAGATAGGCTTTCTGGGCGCCTCGCCGGCTGCTGGCCAGGGTTTGGAGAAACTGGGTCCCCAGCAGTTTGCTGTTCCCTGGCTCATCCGACTGTGTTTTCTCTCTCCTAGCACACACTCACCGGGCACAGCGGCAAAGTGCTCTCTGCCAAGTTCCTGCTGGACAATGCGCGTATCGTTTCTGGAAGTCATGACCGGACCCTCAAACTCTGGGATCTGCGCAGCAAAGTCTGTGAGGAAGCCCAGTCTTGCTGTCTGTGTGTGCGATTGGACGTGACAGCAGGGGTGTTAGTTTCCATGTCAAAGTGTTCACTTAGTGTGATGTGGTCAGAACACGGGTCCACTTGCATGTTCGGGGTAGTACAGAGGTTTTGACGGTTTCTCATGTTTGAGGCTTCATTGAAATGAGTCGTTCCAATGACTCAGGGTCAGAGGGCAGCGAGGTTGTGAGGACAGCCATGCGGGGGGGCGTCTGCTTCATTGCTGATGTTTGGTTTTCTTTCAGGCATAAAGACAGTGTTCGCAGGGTCCAGCTGCAATGATATCGTCTGCACAGAGCAGTGTGTAATGAGTGGACATTTCGACAAGAAGATTCGTTTCTGGGACATCCGGTATAATATCCAGGGGCTGGGTGGGGAGGCAGATGAGAAGGTCTGGCCGTGGTAGAGCTGTCATGATTTGTGTGGGGTTGTGTTTTTAAAGTCCCTGAAAATGCAGAATTAAGCTCCAGTCCACATTTATTTTAACAGCCTGCTCTTCTTTACCCTGAAGTAGACAGTTGTGAACAAAGATGAACAGCCAGGCAGGTGGGCTGGCAGGAGACACAGGTGCGCCCGTGTGCCAAAGCAGATGGGGTGGGCACCTTTGTCTGGGGACGGTAGAGAATGCCTTGGTGCTCACCGTGAAGGGCGAGCATCTTCACATCAGAGAAAAGCCCCTGGCAGACTGGACCAGAGTAGCAGGGCAGCTGGGTCTGGCTGGAACAGTGCAAGTTGGGGCGTGGGCAGAAGAGACTGACCCAGTGGGCTGGTACCTGGTGGCCATGGGCTTCATACATCATTTTTTAAAAGACCTGTCCATAGAAGCTTTTGGGTGTTCGGCAACGGATCGCTCCCTGGGAGGCTCACGGGCAGCATGGGTGGCGGTCTAGAGGGTGTATTGGGCAGCAGGGTAATCAGAAGAGTTTTTGCAGATCTGAACTCCAAGCAGTGGAGGCAGGTGTGGGGGGTCCACTGGAGGGAGAATTCAGACAGGACTTGGCGACAAGTCAGATGTGAAGGATGAGAAAGACAATTACGGCAAGAAAGTTTTAAAGGACAGATTTAGGAAGAGGGGGCAGAGATTGTGTTCAGAGGACCTCAGTTTGTAATCTAACAGACAACGGGAAATACGAGGGCAGGATTTTCGAGACAGGTTGGAAGTTCTTGGGAGGGCTGTGACAGTGTCAGAACAAGCTGGTCAGGGGCACGTGAAGCAGCGAGAGGCCAGACGGCATTTCAGGAGCTGTGTGACGAGGAGGGACCGGTGCGGACAGGGAGGCCAGGGGCCCCCTGCTGCTTGGGCAGCAGTGGGGTCAGGTGACAGGAGTCATCCAGTGGGATGAGGCCAGATGTCAAGATGTGGCTGGTGATCTGGCTGAGTGGGGCACAGCTGGGGCAGAAGCCCAGTGGCTGAGCAGTTGTGTGGAGTGGGAAGTGGGAAGTGTGGTGACAGAAGAGGCTTTGAGAGGCCTGACATGAAGCTCGTGGCTTATTCATGGCCTTCGGTTACCTTTAAAACTGAAGCACGGGATTTGAGAGTTAAACCGGTCAGAGTCTCTGGCTCCACTCCCTGATTTGACAGGCAACGGTCCTGGGTCCTGAAGCAGTGGAGAGACTTGCTTCCGGCTGCACACTCCCGACACTGAGATAAACACTCTTACCTGTCTGTGGTTTGCAGTGGGAAATTGTGTCCTTGGAAACTCACAACAAAATGCACACGGAAGGGCCCAGGCCTCTTGTGGTCGTCTCGGCAACAAGGCCCTGAGATTGCTGTTCCTGGACCTGGGACCCATGGGAGGATCAGGGCAATAAAAGGAAGAAGGGGGACCTGCGAAGTGTGGTGACTCTGCCCCAAGGTCCCAGGTTCATGTTTAGCATCACCAAGGACATGGGGGGCCCTGAGCTGGGCTTTGTGTGGCAGGAAGCCAGAGAGAAGCCCCAGCTCTCTCTGTATTCAGATAGAGCCCTGGTTGGTGCGTGCTGCATCGTTGGAAACCAGAATTAGAGCCCTAGCACTCAGAACAGTGACCGTAGACTCGGTTGACAGAAGGACAGTAAAAGCAGGCACTGAGCTTGTTTGTAAGGTCAAGGACACATTTGTGCCCCTGGACGAGTTCTGCCCCCCTCTCCATGGCACGACGTCCTGGTCACGATGAGGCAGTTCTGACGCTCCCGGGTACATTTCTCAGACTTCTGTTTCTCTGGTAGATCGGAGACTGTGGTCCGAGAGCTGGAGCTGCTGGGGAGGATCACTTCCCTGGACTTAAACCCGGAGAGAACTGAGCTCCTGAGCTGCTCCCGTGATGACCTGCTGAAAATCATCGACCTCCGAGTAAATGCCGTCAGGCAGACGTTCAGGTAACTGGAGACATGCCGGTCTGCGTGTGCGCGGGTTGCTGGTTTCCTGAGGGCCGCGTGAAGACCAGAGGCCCAGCCCTCCGGTCAGACCCTGAGTGCGGCGAGCTGTCTGGGTGACGGTGCTCTCTGTCTGTTTCAGTGCATCGGGGTTCAAGTGCGGCTCCGACTGGACGAGGGTCGTGTTCAGGTTAGTCTGGCTGCTCCTTCTGCCTGTCTTACCCGCCAGCTTGGGTCATTGCAAAGGTTAGAACGTGGGCGCTTTCCCATTGGACAGATGAGCCAGAGTTAGTGTCCCAGCCTGAGTGTCCTGATGACCCAGCGAGTTCAGCAAACAGATCGCCATCGGTTGCTGTCTCCGTCTTTCCCAGTGTCCCTCTGTGGTTGTACCGAAATGGGATGGTTGGCTGCTTGGCTCGTGTGTGCCCAGCGGGTTCGCCTCTGCATTTACAGGAGGACTGAGAGGTTTTAGGAAGGGGTGCGACAGTCCCCCGGGACGGCTGGGCAGGCTCTCCAGAGAGAGGCGGCTTCCTCTCCCCGTTCTGCCTGCTTCCGTGCACGGCGCTTCTCCCGCACACCCCGATGGTCGGGTCCCACACTGAGGAGAAGCTTCTCCAGGGTTGGCGCTTCCTTCCTCCTTCCTTTCCTACGTCACTGAGCCATGTGACCAGGCAAGCCGTCCGCTGAAACAAGCCCCTGCCATTTGGGGGTTGCCTCGGTCTCCCTGTGCTGTGTGTGAATCTGAGAGAGAGTCAGGGACTGGGGCCCCCATTCTTCATGGGGCGAGGCCAAGGTAACAGGTATGAATAGCACAGTTGCACTTCTGGGTGAGGACTGGTGCTGTGTTTGACTCAGAAATGAAGAACGAGCATTACTTCCTGTGAGGAGGCCCGCGAGGATGCTGAGTCGGGGGTGGGAGGTTGACGCTGTGTCTTGTCTCTGTGTTCTCTAGCCCTGATGGCGGTTACGTGGCGGCCGGCTCAGCCGAGGGCTCTCTCTACGTCTGGGGTGTGCTGTCCGGGAAAGTGGAGAAGGTGCTCTCCAAGCACCATGGGTAAGATGGGCCCTGGGGGCCCCTCTGAGGTCGTGGCCCCTCTGAGGTCGTGGGCGGGTCCTGTGACTCGGTCCCTGGGGTCACACTCTCTTTGGGCGTGGACTGTCAGCCCCACGAGGGCGGTGTCCGCTGGCGGTGTGCCACTGGTTTGCTTATCTTACAGTCTTCCCGGTCGAGCAGTTAGAATAGTGGCCATTGGAGGAAAAGCTAGAGAAACGTTCTCTCGTCGTCCCAGAGGCTCCTTCTTTCCTTAGTTCCGTCCACTCAAGCCCACCCGCTGGTCAGAATGCTGACCGGGTTCCTCCATAAGCCCACTCTCTGTGCCCCGAGAGCCATGAGGAGGCTTCTGCCCCAGCCACTGTCCCCTCACTTAGTTCCCTCAGGGACGCCAGGTGAGGCCTGGCCCTTCGTCCCCGAGCTGCCGCCTCAAGCGCAGCGCTGGGCTTGTCCACGTGCCCTGCTCCATCCGAGTGCCAGCGGGGCAGGCCGTGGAGAAGTCCTGACCCCCCCAAACTCGAGGGTGCCGGTATCAAGTTCACCAAGACCTCACCAGTGCTCCTGCCTCTCCCTTTGAAGCTCCTCGATCAACGCGGTGGCCTGGTCCCCCTCCGGCGCCCACGTCATCAGTGTGGACAAGGGGAGCAAAGCGGTGCTGTGGTCGGATTACTGACGCCTCCCAGAGAGAGCAGATCTCGGCCGGCCAGCGGGCACTCAGCCGAAGGTGGTGCATCGGGCGTGGCTCTGGCCTCTGGAGAGGAGCAGGGGCCAGCCAGGTGGAACTGGGGCCTTCTTTTGAAGGGGACTGCGAGGGTTGGGGCGGGCTCTCTAACGGCCTGGAAGGACAACGCTGCAAAGGCCCTGCCGCTGCCTCACTGAGCAGAGGCTCCAGTGGCCGCCGCCATTCCGTGGGAAACACTACTCGCTCCGATCCTCATACCTCAGCGGGGCGCCAGCCGCACAGGCCGCCCTGCCGGCAGTGCCAACGCAGCCCGCCCTGCACCTCGGGCGTCACCTCTGCATTCTCCCTCCGGAGCCAGCTCTGGCCGAACGCGCGTCCTGTCGCCTTGGGGTCGCTTTCCCAGCCAGCTTGCTTTAATCATCGGTTTCGGGGAAACCGAACAGGATCACCCCTGTCCTCAGGGAGCCCCGGGACTGCCCTGGTTTCCGAGGAGACACGGGGCTGCAGTGCTCCCGCTGTGCATCCAATGCGAAGCTCCCGTGCGGAGCTCACCTGATCACGGTTGCAGGTTTCTTGATCTCTGAGTCTGCTCTGGGAGAGCAGCTGTCCTTTCAGGCTCCTGGTCTGCCAGTCTGTTTCCTGGTCAAGACATCAACCTCAATTATGTTAGGAAAGTTTCTTTTTTAGAGGAAGTGCAGAAGCCCTTTTCCTGAGAAGTAGGGGTGCTGCAGGAGGAGGTGTCTTCCTGGACCTGCCTGCCTGTCCCTTCCCAGGAGGTGCACACCGCGGTCTGAGATCACAGCTGCTAGGGACCCGGATGTGAGGGCCCGAGTGTGGCTCTGGAGCGCGGAGCTCGGGGTCACTGCCCCTTGGCCAAGCCCAGGTGTGAAGCCCCCTCGGTGCTGGAGTGCAGGGAGCCAGTTCCCAGAGGCAGGGAGTGGGTGTCGCCCTCCCAGTGCCAGAGCCATGATTGAGGCCAGGGGACAACAGGCCTGTGGCGCTTTTTTTGTAAGCATTTCCCCGTGCCACCGGCCCCCCCCCCCCCCCCCCCCCCCCCCCATTTTACCAGTGTAGAAAATTTTGGTTCCTTAAGTGAGAAACACCAACATTTTTTATCACTTTCTAATTTGCACTTTATTTGTTTCCTCCCATGCTTATTCTCTGGACAGCTGTGGGTGTGAGCGCCGGAGCCTGGTGAGGGGTGGGGGGCGCCTCTTCTCCCACAGGGTGGGGCTCCCCCTTCCTCGTGCCTGCCCTGGTCTCCCCTTTTCTGTTAGCCATTCAGGGAGCGCCAGCGGAAGGGAGTGGAGGTTCACAGGCCAGGCATGTCTTTTATTTATTTAATTGTGTTGCCCAGCAGAACTTGATTGTAAATAAAGAAGAAATCTGTTATATACTTTTCAAACTTCACATCCGTTGGTGTGGGGTTTTTTTTTTAATTATCCTTGGTGCTCTAGCGGGGAAAACACTCTGACTTGTTTTCCTAGTATTCGTTCATTGTAAGTAATGGTAACACTGTCCTAGTGCCTTTCCTCCTCGACATGGTGTCCCTGCCTGTAAAGATCAGCGTGGCAGTCCCTTGTCATAAGCCTTAACTGCAGCGGAAAAGCGGTGTCACCAGCACCTGGGCCCCTGTACCTGCAGAGCCCCACGTGCTGCTGTGACCCCCGCAGCAGCAGGCTCCGCCAACCGCAGGCACCGGCCCCTGGGCCTGCCCTGGAGACTGTCCACGGGACTGACCGTGAGCTCCGCCTGTCTCCTTCTGGCCTCCAGGCCTTCGCTCTCCTGAAGGGGTGTCAGTTACCTCCCTGAGAGGTGATTTATTCCTGGCAGCGCAGATACCTAGCAAAGCTTTGTGCTGTTAACAAATGAGTATCTCCCGAGAAGCCCCAGAAAGTTCCATGACCATGCTGTGCTCACAGTGACGTTGGGCAGGTGTCTGCTCAGCCCAGCAGCATGCACCCACATTCCATCAGGATCTGAGGTCTCGGCACTCTCCAGAAAGCCAAAGGGGCCCTTTGCAAGTCCCCTTCAAGGAAGGGGACACTTGTGAAGGAGGCCTGAAGTTGGCATCTCTTTAGTCTTGAGTACCGTTAGCTTTGGCCTTGGAGGAATGCCCCCCCTGCTTTTGACAAAGAGGGTATTTCGGTTTGAGGTCAATCCTCACTGGACACTTCAGGTCAGCTGACTGCCGAGCATGAGCTGACTCGAACTCGCCACGGAGGAGTATGCCTTCAATGCACAGTGTCCCCTCCTGCTGGGGGAGGTGCTGCTGGCTCCACTAGGGGGCGGGCAAAGGAGTGCTTTGCTTTTCCGGATAATTTCTAGGTGGCTACAGCAGGTGTGCTCCCTCGGAAATGCCAGTTTTGATGCAGGCGTTAACCTGTCTCAGGAGAGTGCCCACAGGACAGGAGGCGGCCATTCACCAAGTTCGCATGGCTCTGCCCGGGTCTTCGGAGAAGGTACGTGCCGGCTGGACCAGAGGCTCAAAGGAAAAGAACCAACATGAAAGGAGCAGTGGATGAGACCCGGAGTCACGATGAGAAGACCCCCTGGGGAGGGTCGTGTGACTCGGGGTCAGATTCAGAGGAGGATCCCCAGGCGACTTGCTGACTGGCACAGCCCTTCGGGGACATTGAGCATACGCCTTCCATCAGTGTTGAGCCAGGGGTCGAGGTGGAAGTCTCGATTGGAGAGGCTTAAATCAGCCTTTTTAATAAATCGATTATCAGTTTAAAAAAATTAATATCTCAAGTTGAGAATTTAAAAGCATCATTTTAATGAACTTACATTTCCTAGGTCAGTTCCCAAAAATAGTGTAATAGATCAATTCGACACGTTACGCTTCAAGCACAACTGCACACACCAGCCTTTATCCTGTGTCTCTAGAGCCCCTCTGGCCTTCCACACCATGGCACCTGGGACGTTTTCTGTGGGCACGGGGGGGGGGGGTGCGGGGCCGGCCCCAGCCCAGGGTGGGTGGTGGGCGGGCAGGCCCCAGGTTTCGGGGTGTGCCGGTGTGTGCAGAGCTGCCTGTGTGGCTTCACAAGGAGATCTGGGGACACTAGACATTTGGAAGCATGGACTCCGGACTCCACACCTGTGCGGGGCAGCAGGCGAGAATATACTCTGCATGGGAGTGTGCTGGGCTGCAGAAACCAAGCATCGCAAACTGCAAGATCTGAGTTGTACCCCATTTTACAGCCCGGCAAAGCCTCACAGCTCAGCAAGAAGCTGAGTGGGATCCTGAGCCCTCCGGGTGACAGGACCGGCATCCTTGGGCCTGCCTGCCTGCCAGCCACCAGACACACGAGGAAGCCCCAGCTTGCCAAGCCAGTGAACTTCAGAAGAGTAAAGTGAAATATGTGTTTGTGTAGATTCTGTAGGAGCACATAGGCTATGTGGTACGTGCCAGCAGAAGATGGAACTCTGAGCCAGAAAACGATTCTTAACCCGCCTCGCCTCGGCGGCATTTGTTTCTCTTACCGCAGGGAGCGCTGGCTTCCGCAGCTCAGCCCCGAACCCTTCCTGCCTTCGTCCTCTGCGCCCTCAAGCCACACTGCACTCCCCAAGCACCCGCTCGCTGTAGTGAGTGCTGCCCAGGACTACGCTGCCCTCTGAGCGGACTCCCCGGGCTGCACACGGGGGACGTCACCTCAGGGGGGGGTCAGGAGCCTCAGGGGGCAGCAGACATGTGCAGTGAGCCCCAACACCCCTACCTGTGCTCAGCAATTTCACCAGAGCACTTTACAGCAAACTTCAGGCATGCCATTTTCTCCTTTTTAAAAAATGTATGTATTAAATCTATTGGCTCACATTGGTTAACAAAATTATACAGGTGTCAGGCATGTCATTTCCCCGCACAGCAGTGTGTGTCCCAAACTGGTAAGGACACCAAGCCGTAACTACACCCCGTGGGCTTACCAGTAACTGAGCTGCACTGTCCATCTGGGTGCATTCACGTTCTCCCGAGGGTCCTGCCAGTGTGTTGTGACTGGCTTGTTCGAGCCGGGATCCAGGTAGCTGTTGCTGCAGAACCAACTCCCTGAAAATGCAACGGCTTCAAACAACCATTCTTACAAGTCTGAGTGGGCGGGGCCGGCCTCGCTCACGTCTGCCCGCCCACTTGCCGTCAGCTGGGGGAACACAGGTGATGCTGCCAGAAAGCAAGCGTCACAGCGCAAGCCCTCGTCACTGCTTGGGTCACCTTTGTCCCACCCACTGGGACTGGAGCAGACGCCACAGGCACCAGCCGTGTGGGGGCAGGGGCAGGAACCCCGGCAGCGGGCCTGGCAACTGTCCACACAAAGGCCTGCGCTCCGTTCTCTATCTCCGGAGTCTCATTCTGGAATGGTGTCTCTTGCTGAATGTTTGTAATGGTCCATATGAGGCTGGTGGTCTTGTCTCGTGTAAGTAGTGCGTTTGTGTCCCACGTGGGAACGTCAGCCCTGCACGTCGATGTGGGTCTGCTCTGACCCCGTGAGTGGAGCAGAGTGTGGGGATTCAGGCTTCAATTTTTAGCGAGATGGATTTAGGAGACAATAGATAGGTTTGCCTGTGCGCCAGGCCGGTGAAAAGACAGGCCGTGAACAGGCCTGCTGTTCCCTGGAGCACGTGCCCAGATGTCCTAAGGGGCTTCTCGAAGTCTCCGGAGCAAGCACAACCTTGACACCCACTGTGCACGGGGCACGGAGTGGGTACTCAGAGTTTTTACTTAGTAGAATGGAATCAGCAAAAGCAAACCAAACAGCCCCAGGATAGGGAGTCATAACTGGCTGGAAGGAAGACTGAGGAAAAGGGGGTTAGTCAGAAAGGAGGGAAGAAGCCACACAGAAAGGGTAAATAATTGTGGAAATTTTGTTCTGTACATTTATGTGTATGTACTGGGTCCCCATGTTAAAAAATGCATTTGTAAGTGTATTGAGTTGGAAATCACATAATCACTTTATATTTTTTATTTTTTAAAAAAGATTTATTTATTTTAGAGAGAGGAAGGGAGAGAGAAAGAGAGGGAGAAAAACATCAATGTGTGGTTGCCTCTCACACGCCCCCTGTTGGAGTCTGCAACTCAGGCATGTGCCGTGACTGGGAATCGAACTGGCAACCCCTTGATTCCCAGGCTGGCACTCAAGCCACTGAGCCACACCAGCCAGGGCTCACAGAGCCACTTTAAAGGGAAGAATTCAGTGGCATTTAGAGCACTCACAGCATTGTACAACCACTGCCTCTATTCGGTGCCAATGAAAAATGGAATTTCTTAACTGGATTATTGTCTGTTTTTTCCAGACTTTTTTGATCTATAGCAATTCGTTGATCTGAAGAAAAGCATGGGACCATGTCTCAGCTCGGGCTGCCGTGACAAAGTATCACTGGCTGAGTTGTTATAACAACAGAAAGTTATTTTTCACATTTCTGGAGGCCAGAGGTCTGAGAGCAAGGTGCCCGCAGCGTGGGTTCCAGGTCGAGGCCTTTGGCTGCCAGGTGCTGCCACTGCACCATGTGTTCACGTGGGGGAGGACCAGGGGGAGTCATGATCGGGACCCTCTGCCCCAGCTCTGCACAGTACTTCATCTTTTCTCCCCAGCCCTGCAGGTGAAGGGAAGGAAATGGTGGTGAGGCTCAGCTCCTTCCCATGGGCCACAGTGGATTCATCGGTGACCCTCGGGTCCCAGCACTGCAGTCGGGGGCCGTCTGACCAACCTGCCCGTTGCAGGGAAACCTGGACCGTTACTGTGCCGTTCCCAGCACAAAGCCTCAAGGTGGGCATTTGAAACCTGTCTCGGGGTTAGGACCCCACGGTGCCCAGAGGGTTTCAGTGCCTGCAAGGAGTGAGTGCCTGTGTTCTGATTACGAGAGCCACACGTGGAAGAGATCAGATTAACTTGGGGCATCAGAGGGGCGTACGAGATTGGTTCCATTCTAACAAAGAATTTTTTCACTCTTCGTCCCGTTTCAAAGAAAGGTGGCAGTGATTTCACCATCCCAAGCATTCACCAACTTCCTGTGGCCGTTGCAGAAGAGATCAAAGCAGGGGGTGGGGTGTGGCCTAAGGGTCTCTGGCCACCTTGAGACCCCACGGGATTCCATTGACGATTTCAGTATAAGCCGGCCCAACCCATAACAGCCCTCTCTCCTCCAGGTCAGTGGACGAAGAGGTACCTGTTGTGGCTTTTAAAAGCTCCCATTCCCTGGCACTCTTCGTAAATACAGTCACCTCAAAATTCTCAAGCGCTCTCTGCTCCCAGACACCAGGGTGCTGGGGAACAAGGTTTCCTTCTGTTGCTGATGGTCAGCAGAGTGCACCAGCGCACCTCAGGCCTGTGCCCTTGTAAACCCCTGAGCCGATCATCTTACCCCAAAGCCCGGAGTCTTCTTAGCTGAGCATCCCCGGAAGCTGGGGCTGGGTTTGGCATCAGGGGCGGACACACACGGCCAGTTGGCTCCATCTCATGGGACGCTGACAACACAGAAGCAGACTCGGAGAATTCGCAGACCAGTACATTTCCAAAAGAATTGTAGGGGAAGGCCGGCAACTTTTTTATTTGGCCGAGTAAGGATGTTTTGTCCTGAGCTACTGTCTATGATTATCTTTATTTTCTAAAAGGAAGGACATTTTGTGCTTCTGCGTCACAACCGCATCCTGAAATAGTCACAGGTCAAGTGTCACAGTGTCTCCATACTTTCGAATGGTTCCAAAGGGAAAAAGCGATAGAGGTCCATGCCCTTGGGCAGCAAGGGGTTCATTGTCGAGTCTCAGTGTCGACTATGGGTGTTTGCTGTGCTGTTCTGTTCCAATTTTTGTTCTAAACGACTATGGTCCTGAAGTTCATAATGTGTTGGAGAAAGTGTAAGACTGATGATGGGCAAATCTGAGTTTCCCTGGAGTTGGGGGGGTCGGCGGAGAGGTTGACTGACCTGGGGGCCGAGGGAGTTTGGGGGTGATGGAGGTGTTCTACGTCTTCATCCCAGTGGCAGGTAAACTCATCAGACCACGCTGAAAAGGAGTAGATATGGTTGTAGGTCAAGTACACCTCAGGAAAGGTGGGGAGGGAGAGACAGGACATCCGATGCCGAACATGTGTGGTCCCGTTGAGAACACTCACAACAGTGCCTTGTTTTTCTCATCCCCTCCGAGCAGAGACCAGGGCTTGGGAGTGACTACTAGGAACCATGTTTCCAAAAAACCAGTGTCAGCTCCTTGGTGTGCGTCTTTGCTGATGGTACATGCAATGGACGTGAGAACATGTGTCCATGTGTGTGCACATATAAACGTACATGTATATGCACATGTAGGCTATGTTTGCTAAGTCTGATCATACTTCACATTTCATCCTAAGACCTCTGGCTCAGTCACAATCTCTGTTTTACTCTTCTAGGTATTTCCGTCTCACCTGTCACGTAGATTATATTCAGATTTTCCCAGCGGACCCAAAATATCTTCTACATCCTGTTCGCCCATTTGGGCATCTCACTGGGGCCAAACATGGCATCTGCTACTGAGTCCCCTCAGCATCTTCTAGTCCAGTCCATTGCTTTTCTAGGACATCGACTTATGAAAGACACCAGCTGCTCTCTGGAGCCCCCTGGTAGCTCTCTTGCATTGTCATTTACCTTGTTCCTCTGTTCTTTGCATTTCCCATAAACTAGATGTCACTTCTAAACACCCGACGGGGTCAGTCGCCCCCCGGGGACACGTCACAACTGGCTGGCAGCACGGGCGGTGGGCACGCCTGTCTCTCTATTGTGCTGTCGGGCTTGCCCCTTCGATGAGCCCAGAGTCCATATGGAGTCGCCTTGGTTCTACGGGGACAACCATTTTCCTGTCACATTTTTCGGTTTTGACACCAGTGCATAATTTTTGTCTGAGCCAGTAACTTCATCAGTGTTCTAGAATGCTGGTTTTGGTATTATTTGGGTATGGTGAGGCCAACAGACCAGGAGACAAGTGCCATGAAATGATAGTCTGTTAGAGTTCCCCGAGGAGGGGCAGGCCAAGCCACGCAGGGTCACCCGAAGAGGCACCAGGGTTGGTCAGGGGGCAGCCGGATTGAGGGGAAAACCTGGGCAAGGGTCTTTCCATGGTTTCCAGGCCAGAACTGGCAAGCCAAGGTAAACAGGCTCGAGACAGATGGGTTGAGTGTCTTGAGAGGCTCTGGGGTGTGGGGGGCTGACTCCAGGCGTCTGCCCCCCAGGCCTGGATGGCGAGGGCAGGGCCACAGCGGCTCCCAGAGCAGGAGACAAAAAGAGGCTGAGGCGTGTGGGGTGTGGGTCGGTGGGTTTGCCTTTACCCCAGGGCAGCAAGGCCCCGGAGAGCAAAGCATCAGCAATACAGAAAATCAAAAGGCATTCACACAGTCCGTAGCTCAAATGATGTTTTTCTGATTTAATCATTTGTTTTACATTTCTTAGCTGGCATTACTTTATTTAAAAAACAGTTTTCTTCCTTAGAAATGTTTTTAAACCCCCCACCTTTGGCTCTTGCCAGCTCTTACGCTGTTGCAATCCAGTGGCTCATTGGTTCGCTCAGAGTGTACTGAGGCCTCTATTCTAGATGCCGGCAACGGGGCCAGTAAAAGCAGACGGAAGCCACTGCGTGCCAGAGACTTATATTCCCAGCGAAGGGGCAGTATGGGGACGGACAATAAACAAGCTAAAAAAGTGAATTATCCTGTGTGTTAGATGATGGCAAATGATACGGAGAAAAGTGGTGCAGAGATGGAGGATAACAGCGTCAGGGGAGGGGTGCCGTAGGGTGACACTGATGTCTAGACCCAGAGGAATGAGGGGAGTGAGCCAGTGGCTGGCTGCGGGAAGAGCTTTCCAGGAGGGGAAACGGGTCCAAGGGCCCTGTGGCAGATTTGGAGAAGAGCAAAGGGGCCCGAGGACTGGAGCTAAGTGGGCGAGGTGGTGAGATGTGGGGTCACAGGCAGCGGGGGAGCCAGGTCACTCAGGGCCCTGCAGGCACATCCAGGCTCGCGGGGGGGGGGGGGGGGCGGGGCACTGGTGTGTTCTGACAGGTGCTGGCACCCCAAACAGACTTCCTGCTCAGACTTGCTTCCTCCCCAGACACCAGGTCCAGTCCAACGTGTGGGTCAGTGGCCACAGTGTGCCCTCCAGTCACTCACTCCCTGGGTGTTCGTGGGAGCAGCTGTTGTTCTGGGCGCTGCAATCCAAAGGTGAGGGAAACACAGTGGCCTGGTTCCCTGGCCTTGTACAGCCCAGAGTCAAGTGCAGAAGAGAGACGTGAAGTAACCTTCCACACAAGTGTCTGGGGCGCTCTGCTGGAGGGTGGCGCAGCCTCCCCTGCGGAAGAGACTGCTGAGCCGGAACTGGAAGGATGGCGGAGCCAGCGAGGCGAGGAGATGGGAGGACTGTTTGGACACAGACAGCATGGGGACCAGGTGCAGGGCCGTGAAGAGGGGCAGGGAGAGTTTTAAAGATGTGCCTGTGTCCCCAGGGCAATGGAACTCCATGAGCAGTGTAGTGCAGAGCGGGGCCCGGGAGGGCCTGGAGGTGCGGTTAGACAGACGGCGCCGTCAGACCCTCGGGAGGCCTTCTGGTCCAGGAAAGCGGGGCAGCAGCTGTGGACTCACGGGGAGGTGCTGGGCCCAGAGCGCGGGGAAAGATTCTAGACACTGGGAAAACGGACAGGACTCGGGACCCCACCAAGAGGACGGACGATGGGCTGGAGGAGAGAGGCCTGTCTGGTTTGGCTTGCCTGGCACGAGGGTTCATGTTGAGGTTGATGTATGTCCTTGACCTTTTCATATTCCTGCTTTGGCTGCCTGCCGAGGTTCATCAAGTGTTTTGAGGACTCAAATCCCTGTCCTTCGAAGAGATGACCAGTCTATTTCCAGAACCTAAAGAGGGTTAGGCTGAGAAGTAGCTTTCCTTGAGCCACTGCCCACCCCCCACGCCTTCCCCAGTCGAGAGGGGTGGCTCCCACATCTGAGTCCTCCCGCCCCAGAAGGAGGCCCTGGCCTAATGCCTGGAACTGCTGAAGTGACATGTTCACCCATCTTGACACTAATCCAATGTCCACTCTGCTTCTTAGAGGGGATTTGGATTTGAGGCCTTGAGAGCTGAGTGCAGGCCCCCTCTCCAGATCCCTTACAAATTCTCCACGCACGTCCGCCAGGGGCCTCGCTGGGGTCATCAGGGTGGACAGCAAGGGCTGGCTGCCACCACAGAGGGCACAGAGCCCTTCTCCTCCTGGGCCCATCCGGCTGGTTGCACAAGGTATGTGACCGCCTGGCACAAGACTTCTCGGGCACGGGACAGGATGGGGCAGAGCCAGGCTCAGGATGACGGGCGTTGTCATGGAGTCCATCTGTCCCTGTTTCACCCGCTCTGTGTTATTCCCATGGACTTTGCTTGTTAAGGAAACTGGAGTGTGTTGAGAAGCCAAGAAGACCCTCGCTGTCTGTAGGCCTGGGAGGGGGCAGGGAGCAGAAGCAGGCCAGCACCGCAGACCACGCATTGCTGAGCATACCTTTTGGGGATTTAATACATTTTGAAGGTGCTGTTTGTCGTGAAGGAGTGACGCTATGCCTTTCAGGACCCTTCCCATTGTAACTGTCATAAGACATCACCTTGACCTGATTTTAAAGTCACCCTGCCCCAGCGTGTGATACCCAAGGTTAGCGAATAAAACCTTCCCACCAGCATCTGGCTAGACGCCCTGGTGAGGTGTGCCAACAAATGTTTGGGTCTTATCAGTAAAAATAAAAACACAGCTTTTCAAAAGTGGTGCACAAACCAGGCAGAGACCTTATTTAATCAAACGTGGACACTGAGGCCAGTAGGGGGAGAAGTATTGGACAGATGCGCAGCATCTCACAAGTGGGTTTTACGCCCGGGATGTACTTGACTTTACATTTAGGACTGATTTTGCCTCCCCCAGCCCTCTGACCCCTGACGCGTGTCCCACGGTGGAAGGCACTGCTGGGGACAGATAACATGGCGGCCAACATGAAGACCGCTAAAACGGCACCAAACCATGTCATCTTCAAGAAGGTCTCCAGGGACAAATCGGTAGGTGGCATGGAAGTGAGTGCTTGATGGAAATGTTTGCTTGCTTGCTTGCTTGTCTTTCAAAGGAGCCTTTTTGAGAATAGATGCGCTCAACCCCAAGACCTCGTGAAGTTTGAGAAATGCTCTCTATTTTCTGTCTGCCTGAGATGGATGCCAGACGAGATATGTATGAATAAGTGAACTGCAGAAATACAACTTCTTTTTAAAAATCATTTATTTATTTATTTTTAGACAGAGGGGAAAAGAGGGAGAAAGAGAGGGGAGGAAACATCAATGTGTGGCTGCCTCTCAGGAGCCCCCTACTGGGGACCTGGCCCGCAACCCTGGCATGTGTCCTGGCTGGGAATCGAACTGGTGACCCTTTGCTTCACAGGCCCATGCTCAATCCACTGAGCCACACCAGCCAGGGCAGAGATACAACTTCTCTTCAACTGCACCAAGACTTAATCTCTCAATCCCCTTCTCCGCACCCCCAATTTTACTTCTTTTCTGAGCCAGCCTTTAACCCACAACCTCCCATTGCAAACACTGTTTTGTCTCTACCTGGAACTCACTTGCCGTTTGTCTGTCATCTCCCCTCCCCGCCTGGGGAAAGCCCTAAAGCGACGTTGACAGGACTCTCTACCTCCTGCACACCTGCGCCAGTGCCGTGCTCTCGGCCTTGCTGGGCCTTCAGGGCCTGGGGACAGGAGGGTGCGCCCCTCCACCATGCTGCCCTGCAGCCACGTGACTGCCCGCACCCTGGCAACTGCATCCTCGGCAGGGAAAACGCCGCTGTTGGCTCCACCAGGGGCACATTAGATGATGTGACCATGAACTTCCCAGCATGGGAGACTGGGGAAGGTCCACCCCAAAGTCTCCGGGGATGGGGTCTCCTCGCTCCATTCGACAGCTGCTTAGGGGCCAGCCATCTAGCTCAACACCACTGAGACAAGTCGCTCCGTATGTAATTTCAAACTTTCTAATAGCTGCTTTTAAACAAGGGGCATTCTTTAAGAAGAAAAAGGTGGCATTCGCTTTAATATTATCTTTCTTTAACCCAAGGTATCCAGAAAACTATCATTTTAACCTGTAAAGGATACAAACATTATTGGTGACACATTTTACATTCATTTTCTGGTGTGTATTTTACATCTACAGCACCTGTCACTTTGGAATGGCCATATTTCATGTGTCCGGTCATCCCCTGTGACTAATAGCCACTGGACCGCGTGGATGAAGGCCATTCTCCTCGCTGACTTCCGAAGCCCATACAGGGCCCCAAACCCGCTCTCAGCCTTCCGGCGTCACACACGAGACTCAGGCTTTGCACGGCCCCCCTCCCCGCTCCCCTCTCCTAGCAGAGGAGCGCCCTGGTTTCCATCACATATTCCAATCCTCTGGGGTGACAGTTGGGCGCCCCTCACCCTTTCACTCTCCAAACTCTTCTCTGACATGTGTCTTTCTGTTGCACTTCCGGCGGCAGGAGGAGAGAGGAGCTGCAGCTGGGCCTTGTCATTTTCCACTTTTTTCTTCCTCACAGCCAGATCTGCATCCTCTGCAGCAAGAAATTTAGACCCTTTTGTATTATGGGGTAAAACATAATTTATCCATCAATGTCTCATAGATTAGGGTCGTTCCAACTGCAACCTCCATGTGGGTCCCGGCATGGAGTGCCAGGGCTCAGGGGCCAACTCTCGGGGCATCTCTCTGCTCTGCCCTCTCTCATGAGCTTCATCCTCCTGCTGGTGACAAGGTGGCTGCCCCAGCTCCGGGCGTCTCACCCTCACTTTCTCCTAGAAGAAGGAAGAGGCTGTTGCTTCCTGGGGTCTCTTTTTTTTAAGAGTGAGGACAAAATTTCTCTCATATCTCATTGGTCAAAACTGGGTCACATGCCCTATTTTTTTTTAATCCCCCCTGAGGACACTTTTTCTTTGCTTTCAGAGAGACAGAGAGAGAGAGATTGATTAGTTGCCTTCTCATATGCACCCTGACTGAGATCAAACCTGCAACCTGGGTATGTGCCCTGACTGGGAATCAAACTGCACTCCTTTGGTCTAAGGGACAGTGCTCCAAGCAACCGAGCCGCACCAGTCAGAGTCACACACCCACTTTAAACCAATCCTGAGCCAGAGGAATTGGATGATCATGATTGGATCTGGCCAATCCAGAATCATCCTCTGGGGCTGGCCTCCTCTTAGCTCAGAACCACAGGGGGACGGTGACCCAGCGATAGTGGGTGACATATGCAGGCAGGAGTGTGTGGCTATTGTTGGGTGGGCGAGCGTCAGGCGGCTACAGTCGCACATTCGGCCCCTCTTCACCGCCTGCCCCATCCTTGCCCGCCCCCCCATCTGCACGGAAGCGGTGCCTGTGCTCCCACCCGAGGTCCATGCTGCCTCGGGGTCCTTCACCATCAGCCTCCTCCCGCCTGGGCTGTGTCTGCAGCCTCTCCCTCTCCACCAGGACTGTGCCTGAGCATCAAAACAAGTACTGACCTCAGTACCTCAAAAACACCACCAGCAAACCCCAACTCGGTACCTTTCTAGCTCGCCTTCCTTCACAGCCAAAGCATGAAAAAGAAGAAAACTCTCGCTCTGGTCACCTGCCTTCTTCCCTCCCCCTCACGGCAGTCCTCAGCATACCAGCTCCCCGACTGGCCCTCTTTCCGAACTTGCCTCTCTGTTCTCCACTCTGCTGCTAATGTGGCTACAGTCTTGGGGGTCCCCTCGGTGAAACAGGCCGGTTCCTATCTCATAGGGCTGCTGGCACGATAAACCTGCTACATGCTGTTTAACTGCAGGCTTTTCATCCAGTTTAAAATGCCTGAATGTCTTCCTAGATTCTTTGGGGTCAGGTCTCCTAAGACGCTTTCTGTTCTCACCCTGCATCCCCATTTGGTGGCCAGTCATCTGCAGATGAAGCATTAGCAGTTCCAGAAGCATCCTGTCGGCTTCGGGCTTTGTACACAGGGAACTGTTTGGCCCAGCAAACACCCCCCAACCATCCAACCTCCTGTCCTCTGTCCAGTCACCTGGCTATGCTGTTCTTAAGGTGCTTCAACGTCACTCATACAGATACCATGAGGCACGGGAATTCAGTCCAGGACCTCTGAGGGGCGGGGGTGGACCTAGGAGAGAATATAATGCCAACAAAAATGATTTGGGGTATTCATGAAAATAAAAAGAATATAAGAGGCTTAGGGAAGAAGGGGCTGGCCAGGTGCACACACACTTGCTGGCACACTTAGCAAATGTCTATGGAGACTAGAGATTCTTTTAACAAGATGGGGAAACCTTTCATTCACAGCTAGAAACTAAAGGCTTAACATGTGAATGGGTGGGAGAAGCCTCATTTGCATAAGGCTAACTTTCCTCTAAAGAACTATCAGTTAATTTAACTAGTTTAAGTGGTTGATATCAGACCCAGTCCTGGTGGGTACAAGTGGAGAGAACAGGGTCCATCCAAAGGGGTAGGAAGAATTCTGTGGAGCTGACTCACGAGGCAGAGGAAAGAGCACACCTTGCCTGCAATCCATCCTCTCTGCCCTCTGCCAAGCAAGGGGCAGGGAGGTGATGGACTGGCTGCAGACCCACGGGCTCCTCTTCCCAAACTCATCAAAAGGTTTTTGGTTGTTGCTGATTTTTAAGATGAATGCCTTAGGTTAGTGTTCTCTGGCCATTTAGAATCCATATCTGTTCTGCCCACAGGTGACCATCTACCTGGGGAAGAGAGACTACGTGGACCATGTTGACCAAGTAGAGCCTGTGGGTAAGTTGAGTTTGGAGTCAAGTTTTCCCGCTGGCTTTCCTTTAAGTCATCAGACAACTGCTCATTTTGTATTTTTAAAATGGGCTTTGCTGATAGTCTAATCAAAGAAATGCAAATGAAAACATCCGTGAGAGGCTACTGTCTGGTTGGAAACAATTTTAAAGAGTGTGGGCTGGGGACACAGGACTTGCTCTGGAGTACACAAAGAACACGCAAAACTCATCAGTAAAAGGAAATCAAAATCCACTCAGAAAACAGATAAGAGACGTTAGGAGGCATTTCATCAAAGAAGACGAATGGGTGGTAAACACGCGCACATGGAGAATTGTGTGACATCGTCGGTCATCAGAGGAATGCGGATGGAACCCACGCCAAAGTGCCATTCTCCGGCTGTTCTAACACCTACCGTTGAAAACACTCAGAATACGAAATGCTGGTGCGGATGCAGAGAAACCGGTCACCCATGCAGGGCTGGTGGGGATGCAAAATGGCACAGCCCGTCTAGAAAACCGCCGGGTGGTTTCTTAGAAAACTGAGCACAGACCTACCCTTGTGACCCAGTGGCCGCACCCGTGGGTGTTGATTTATCGCAGAGAAATGGAAACCACATCCACGCGAAAACCCGGGCGTGTTGGCTCCTGGCAGCATTGTCTGCAATGGCTCCAACCTGGAAAGAGTGGAAACGCCGCTCCCTGGGTGAATGGGGTTAAACACTCTGCGGCTCACTTGTACCACGAAACTGTCAAACGAAGGAGTGGCCGACACGCCCACAGCCTCTGGGTCTCCTGGGCGTTACGCCGAGTGGGGACGCCAGGCTCTGGAGGCCATGGACTGTGCAGCTCCATTTCTGTAACACTCTCCAGATGAGAAAATGATAGAAATGGGAAACAGATCAGCAGTTACCACCGGGAGGGGGCGGAGGGGGCTGGGGGGGTGTGACTCGAAAGGGCGTCCTGGGAAAGAGCTCCACGGGACGGCTGTCCCCAGCACTGCTGTCCCCAGACTGCGCAGTGGTCACAGAGATCCCCACATGAGAGGAAATGACTTGGAACTATGCACATGCTGTGCCCATGTCAGCTTCCTGGTGTTGACATTGTACTGTAATTACCTACGATGTAACCACCGGGACGCACAGGGACCTCTCTGTACCATCTCGGCCACTTCCTGTGACTCTATAATTATTTCTGCTCAAATAGTTACTATTTTTTAAAAGAGTGTACAAAGCTGGCATTTTTGGGCACTGATGATGAGAGTGCCTCTCAGCCAGGAGAGCTGTGTGGCAGCAGGCTTAGCTGTGAGGATGTTCCTCGCAATACTAGTGACAATGGAGAAAGGTGGAAACAACCTAACCCCCCAACAGGAGGAGGGCATTTGCAGAAGTTGTGCTACATTCATTCTTTGGAGCAATGTGTAGCCATTGAAATGATGAGTGCATGGTGTGTGTGTGTGTGTGTGTGAGAGAGAGAGAGAGAGAATAGATGTTTTCAGTGTACTTGAGTGAGGGAAGCAGTGCAGTGAATGGTGGGTAAAGTAGGATCTCTCTCTCTCGTAAAGACATGCATGGGTGCATATACATCTGGGAACAAATTCTGTGTCAATATCTTGGCAGTGGGACTCTCTGGGGAGCAGAAGTGTAGATGCCTTTGTTTTCTCTTTGCTCAATTTTCCTATAACGAACGCAGTTGGAATGTGCAATGAAAAACCTCTACCTATAGGGAAGGCCTCTGGTCTCTTTGGTCTCCGGAGCCTCACGGTCTCTGTCTTTCGTGCAGATGGTGTTGTGCTGGTGGACCCTGAGCTTGTGAAGGGAAAGAAAGGTGAGGCAGGGCTGGGCTGGCACGGGGAGGGGGCTTGGGAAGGGAAGGGGGCCTGTGTGTGTGGCGGGAGGCCAGGGAGAAGTGGGACCATCATCCCTGGTACCATCCTCAGGACACTGGTCCTACTCCCAGCACAGCTCCCTGTCCCCATCTCTCAGATGGAGGTGAGGACTCAGGGTAGCCAGGTGACTGAGGTGGCAGGAGAAGTAACTGGTGGCAGAGCCCCGGGCCCAGGTCTATTGGCTCCGTCAGCTGCACATGTAGTGCTATGCCACGGCCAACCACAGGGGGCTCTCCGGTGGGTTTTCGGAAGAGGGGGACCTGGAGCCTGCCCAGAGGCAGGACTTGCCTTGTTGCTTACTGTGGTGGCTCCGAGCCGAGGTGTCACTGCACTTGTGAAGGCCTCTGGCATCTGGGGCGTAGGTGGCAGGTTAATTTGGTGCTAATAACAGTTCATGAACTAAATGAGAGAAGATTCGAGTTATCTTTACGATCATGCCACAGGCCATTCCATGCTAAAGATGCCTTTTTGAGTGGCTGCCACTGGCAATCACGAGGCACTGTTCCTAACCCTGGACGTGCCCAGGGGACTGTGTCAGACGTGGGGCCATCAGGATTGAGGGGGCCGGGCAGAAATGGGGCCGAACATCGCCCCTCTGCTGTGTCCTCCCTCCTGGTAGCACCCTCAGCAGAGGAGGGCACTTGCTCAGAGGGGAAGCACCACCTGGCAGGGAGACGCACTGCCAGGTCACCTCTGGCACCTTCCTCTTGCAGACCTCAGATGAGGGACAGGCAAGCTGCCGGTGTCTCTTCTGAGCTTAGCCACGGGGGGCAGTTATCCTTGGGACAGACGGACAGAATCCTCAACTGACAACTGCAGAGGTGGGGGACCGCTTCCGTGGGCTTATGTTCTGGACTAGCGTGTGCTTTTGTTTCCCACATTAAAGACTGTGCTAACGTGTGTGGGTTCATACACTTCTTCCATCCACTGGGGGCACAATTACATCTTTTTAATCAAGCTGAGTCTTTGGAAGTGGTGATTCTGAGAAGGCTGGTTTCGCAGCAGTGTGGAGAGAAGGGTTCCTCCCTGATCTGGTTCCATCTCTCTGCTGATCCAGATGCCCCCGGCACCTTGCACAGACCATGTTTCCCCCTGCTTCTTACCCCCACCCTCCGCTCCATCCAGACGTCCTGCCCTCAGAACCCAAGCGACCTGCACCAGTGAAAAGTCTCCTGAGCTCTGGCCAGGCGGCTCAGTTGGTTGGAGTGTCATCCATACACCAACGAGGTTGTGGGTTCGATCCACAGTCAGGGCGCAGAAGGGAGGCAACTGATCAATGTTTCTCTCTCTCATGGCCATCTCTCTGTCTCTCCCCTCCCCTCTGCTCCCTCTAAAATCAATAAATATTCTTCAGTAAGGATTAAAAAAAAAAACTTTTATAAAACCTCTTGAGGGTCTAGAGGAGGGGGTGGAGGGAGAGAGGGAACACTGTAAGTAGGTGGCCACAGGATGGGGTTCCTGGGCGAGGCCCCCGGTCTCCTAACACGCCCTGTGGAGTAGTTTCCACAGCCCTGGGGAGAGGAGTGTGGCCCAGCTGGGGGTTGTGCTTCTCAAACCCCATCCCCTCCAGAAGCCACAGGCCGGACACCGTGACCGACGGTGTCAGGTCGCCCCGTGCTCGCTCCGCCACAGGCCAAGCCCGCCCTTCTCTTGCCTGCCTTCCAGTGTACGTCTCCTTGACGTGCGCCTTCCGCTACGGCCAGGAAGACATCGACGTGATCGGCCTGAGCTTCCGCCGGGACCTGTACTTCTCTCGGGCCCAGGTGTTCCCGCCCGCGGGGGCTGCAGGCGCCCTCACAAAACTGCAGGAGAGCCTGGTCAAGAAGCTGGGGGCCAACACGTACCCCTTCGTCCTCACGGTAGGTGACCCCGCTCCCGTGCGCTCCCCTGCCCTGGTTCCTCCACCCAGAGCACCTTGTGATGTGACCGGGAGCGAAGGAAAGGGGACAGAGGCATGACTTCACATTTGTGGGCCTTCAAATTGCACCCTTGGAGGAAATGCTAGATTGTACGGGCTGTGATTGTCTTTTTTTAAGCCCTTGAAAATAGCCTCTCAGCCTTTGAAGACACCGTTGGAACGATGGTTTAAATGTTCCCCTTCAGCAGAGCACCTAATTACACGCGTGTTCTTCCTTAACTTGCCCATCTATAAAAAGAAGGAAGTGCCCCTGCGCTGGCCCCAGGAGCTCTGAACAGAAGAGCTTCTTACGGGACAGGGATCTTAGTGAAATAAGAAGCCTTGTCTATAACTCCGTGGGTCGCCATAGATAAATTGCTTCATCTCTCAGGGCCTCATCTCCCCTGGGGACACCTGGCCCCCCCAGGGCCAGGCTGCTTGTCCTCTGAGGCTTGGCGTGAACTCTTTGCTAGCACGTCTTAAGATGATAGACTCCTCTAAAGTTACCTGGTTCAGCCTAAAAGGGAAGGACATTCTGATGCACGTTACAATATGGAGGAACCTTGAGGACATTGTGCTTTGTGAAAGGAGCCAGTCACAGAAAAACAAACACTGTCTGAGCCTATTCACGGGAGGTCCCTGCAGTGGCCACAGCCCTAGACACAGGAGGCAGAATGGAGGCTGCCAGGGGCGGGGTGGGGGGAGGCGGAGGGGAGCTAGTGTGGGTGATGCCGCAGTTCCCGCGGTGATGGGAGGGATTTATGCAGGACAGTGTGGAGGCACCTCGCTCAGCCGCGTACCTGGAACGGTAAGTTTTCAGTTACATACATTGTATCACAACACCTTTCTAAAAAAATCACTTGAAACACATTTCACAGTTCTGGGTGCGCCATGCACTGGTCCTGGGAATCTGAGATGACGTAAGCTTTTGGAGACAACAGGTCAGTGTGTATCGAACCTTAAAAATGTGATTGTCACCTGGCAGCTCCCTGCCAGCAGCGCAGCCTCTGGCGCTGACTGAGTGGAACTGTGCCGAGTGGCTGAAGGAGGGCGTTTACTGCAGCGTGCCGATCGGTCCAGACCCGCCAGCAGAGGAGCTGGCGAATGAAATGTGGGGTTTCTGGCGGCGCCGGCCGTGATGCATGGTGGGAACTCGGTTGTAGCACGTCCCGAGAAGTAGGGTCAAGGTCAGGGGTGTGAGCAAGCAAGATGCAGAGCACGTGCTTCACCTGGTGCCACGTCTGAGAAGGACGGCCACCTCCATGCCTGCCTGTGTGTCCAGGTGTACAAGACACTCTGGGTCGGCTCTGTTCACGGTGTCTGTCATTCGGGTGCTGGGCGCACGTGCGAGCGAGCGTTTCCTGTTGCTTGCGCCTCGCCCGCATTTTCCAGGTTTTGCACAGTGAGGATGCCTTCCATGTGGAGTCATGTCTGAAAGAAGTGACCGCTTGTTTCTCTCCGCAGTTCCCGGACTACTTGCCCTGCTCAGTGATGCTGCAGCCAGCACCTCAGGACACGGGCAAGGTTGGTTCCCAAAACCGTGCCCTGGATTCCTTCCTTCCTTCCAAAGACTTTATCACAGGAAGTTTCAAACATACATAGAGAGACAGCTTAATGAGCCTGTGGCTGGTCTTCAGCTGGTGATGACCGTGAGCGACCCTGTGAACAAAATGCTAGAGTTCCCCCGTCGTGGGTCTCACGGGTCGTTGGAGAGCAACAGGCGGGAAGCAGATCACAAGCCCCCATGGGCACCTCCAAGGGTGCTGGGCACTCTGGAGAGCAAGAGGCTATGAGAGGCAAGAGGAGTCGAGGAGGGAGGCTTGGCTGGGATGCTGAAGGACGGCTTGTCTGAGAGGGTAAAGGAGATGCAGTCCCCTCCTAGGAGACAGCCTCCCAGATGGAGGGGACACCCTGCCTGCGTGGTGTGTAGAGGAGCGGGGGGTGGGGAGGGGAGAGGAGGAGGTACAGCCAGATCAGTAAGGACCTCAGTGAACGCCTGCTGTGCAACTTGGACTTTTCCTGGGTGACACAGGAGCCACTGGCGGGCTCTGCATGATGGGTCCTGACTTAGTTTCCAAAGGGTTGCTTGGCCACGGTGCTGAGGGCGGCTTGGGGTGGCCAACGGAGAGGCACAGGGACTGAGTCTGTGCGGGAGGCAGGGACTGTGCTGGAGGGACCAGGGAGGAAGGAGGACCGTGGGTGCAGGCGGGGAGAAGGAAAAGTGCTGGGATTACCGCCAGAGGGTCAGGGTCACTGGCATCTGGGGTTCATGGGGAGGGAGCAAAAAACATGCCCGAGAGGAGGACAGGAGTGGCAGGTCCACACAGGGGGGCGGGGCGGCTGCAGTGACAGGCAGGGGCAGAGGCTGAGGCAGCGGTCTCCAAGGTGGGGGACCAGCCTCCACGGGAGAGGTTTGTGAAACCAGGGCAGGGCGTCAGCCATGGTGTTGCAGAACACGGGGGCCGTGAGGACATGGAAGAGAACAGGACAGCTCAGAGTGCCCCACACGCGCCAAGCAAGGGCCAGTGCACAGGTGGGAGCTGTTTCCCCCAATTGCCTCTGTCTACTGGGCCACGTTAGAAGCGTCACTTCTCATCACGGGCGGTGAGACCTCTGAAAGCCACTGGTCCAGAAATCAGCTGAGACGGAGGAAGACAAGGGCACTAAATGGGCGTGGGGGTACCGTGCCAGCCAAACAAAGGCCCACCCTTCGGTCCATCCCAGAGAGGAGGCTACCAGAGCTCAGTGTGAACTGAGGCCTGGGACGCCTGGGCAGGGGCGTCTGTGCAGCTGAGGGGACCTTGGAGCCGGGGCTCGGAGAACACATAGGGGTGTGTTGAATGCGAAGAAAGAGAGAGAGAGCCACGGGCTATTTCAGAAGCAGGACCGCGTGTGCCCAGTGTAGACCAGAGCAGGGAGCCCACGCGGTGGCAGGCGGGGGGACCAGGAGCAGGGGGCTGCGTGGCTAAGGATGCCGGGTGGTGGCGGGTCACAGCGTTTTAACAGAGAACCTTGAGGAGCATGAGACTGAGACAAAAAGACCGGGTGCTGGGTGACACCCCCTCAGGAGGCAGGGCCGTTCTGAAGTCTCCTCTGCTCTTTGTCCCTGCAGTGCTGCGGGGTCGACTTCGAGGTCAAAGCATTCGCCACAGACAGCACGGACGAGGAAGTGGACAAAGTTCCCAAGAAGTAAGAATGTCGTTGTGGGACTAGATGACGGGCTGCGGGCAGGGGGCGGGAAGGGGGGTGATAGGAAACCCTCCTCATCTGTGCCTGTGGCAGGACTGTCCCCAGGGGGCCCAGCCTGGGGCCGTGGGGACAACCTCCACCCAGGGCTGGGGGTCAATGGTTGATCATTTGGGGGGAAAAACACCAAAGAGAATGACCGGAGCGCTAGTGACCTCCAGGGCTCACCCAAGCCCCTGGGAACCTCCAGATTCCTGCTTTCTTTACTTTTCTTTTTCTTCTTCCATCCTATCTTTATGGTGCTAAGACATCACAACACAAAGTTTACCATGTTAACCACTTGCAAGCGTGCAATTCAGTGCCATTAAGTGCATTCGCTATATTGTATAACCATAGTTACACACGAAGCCCCTCATCACCCCAACAGCAGCCCTCTGTCCCCCCAGCAATGCCCGCTTCCCCCCCGTCCTCCCAGGCCTGGCCTCCCACATTCTTCTTGTCCCCGAACACAGTTTCTAACTGTGCCCCCAGTACCTTCCCCTCGTACTCAACGTGTACCTACCGATGCCGCAATAAGTGACAACAATGGTGTACACGCTTGAAGCATGTCACATGCAGCACACGGTGCACTCCCACATCAGCTTCCCCCTAGAGGAGGTGGTCCAGGGTCCTACCCGAGGGTGCGAGCCATCCTTGGGAGAGCAGATGGCCCCCACGCCCCCCAGCTGTGGAGATCCCAGACAGCCTGGACACCAGTCTGCGGCCCCTCCTCCACACCAGCCCCCAGCCTCGGGGTCCACCCCGAGTCGTTTGTTGGGTCCCGGCGTGAGTGCAGGAGAGAGGCCCGGGGCCACCCCCCCCCAGGAGGCTCAGCCCCCCCTGCAGGACCGCCTGTGACTCTCGGTCCGCAGGAGCTCCGTGCGCTTACTCATCCGGAAGGTGCAGCATGCGCCGGCCAAGATGGGGCCCCAGCCCCGGGCCGAGGCCAGCTGGCAGTTCTTCAGGTCCGACAAGCCCCTGCACCTCGAAGTCTCCCTGAGCAAAGAGGTAACCCACCGGCGTCACTGTGCCCCGTGTGGGGACAGGCCTGGGGGACGGGCCCAGCCTCCGTGCCCTAACTGCTGCTCAGTGTCTCTAGGGACAGTTTCCACACCAGTGCTGGAGGACAATGGGCCCTTTTCCATCTTTCGGACCCGGGAAATGTGGCCATAGAACAGGGTCACGCTGACTGGGATTCCACTGGTCGTCTTCAGTCCTAACCAACTGGGGGGGCGTGGAGTTCATGTACCCCAACCCCAGGCCATCTTTGCCCCCCGCCCCATCCTGTGGGCTTCATGTGCCGGTGTGGCACCAAGGGGTGTGGTATCATATACCGCATATCCCTAGAAAATTCAAGCTTTACTATAGTGGTGGGCAGGTGGCCGTGACACAGGTGAATGTCATCTGTGAAGTGTGTCACAGTGAAAAAGGTGACGAGCCACTGGCTGGGGCTGTCTCTGGCCCCTCTGGTCACCACGAGTCACACACACATGTCAACCAGAGCCTAAATCCTCTGTGTACTCGTGGGCGTGTGCCTGTGTGTGCATGGGCGCACAAGCAAACGTGCATGCACGCATGTACAAGGGCTCCCCTCCCAGGCCCAGGCCCCGGACACCACTGCTGAGGAGGGCTTCGCCCCAGGCCCCCCACTGGCTTCCTCCCATTTCGCTCCTTCTGCCCCAAACAGCCTGTGGTTCCACCGAAGGCCCCGGGGCTGACTCAGCGGTGACCCTCAGGACGAGGGCATTCTGGGCTGGAGCACCCTGGCTCCAGCCCCCATGGGTCCCCGCTTCCTCCCCAGCACCCACCAGACCGGGTGGGGGCAGCGCATTTCAGGCCCCCCTCTGAGGCGGCACGAGGTGCAGGAACCCAGCCCCGCGTGCTCTGTCACGGGACTGAGGTGAACTTGGAAAAGCCGTGAGATGAGAGATGCCATTAGGCCCTGTTCCCCTTTTCTGACTTGTCTGCTAATCTTTCAGATCTACTTCCACGGGGAACCCATTCCTGTGACCATGACCGTGACCAACAACACAGAGAAGACCGTGAAGAAGATTAGAGCATTGGGTAGGACCTCCTGCTCCCAGCTGGAGGGCGGAGTCTCCTAGAATTTCTCAGTCGGGTCCTGTTTCCCGAGGGTCTGTCCTCTGGTTGGGAAAGGCCCTCCTGGGTCCTCAGAGCCACCCGTTGGTCTCTGTTGTCACGGACAGCGGGACCTCCCAGCAAGGAAAGCCCTTCGGTGTCATCACATACAAGGGCGCGCCCAGCTGAGGGCTGCCTTTGGTCTGGGGGCAGCATCCTGACAGGTGACCTTCCATCTTCCGTGTCAAGCCTCCCCAGAGGGGTCCGGGCCGGGTCTCAGGCAGCCCGGAGAGGAGTTTCCTCTGCGAATCAGTGCAGAGCCAGGGAAGCGCGGCCCGAGAACATGGGGCTTCCTCGTGGGCTCTGTGGGGTGCTGAGGGTCGGTCACCCATGGGAGTGCTTTGTAAATGGTAAGGCTGGTCCCTTTGAGTCCCCATAAGGTGATGGCCGAGTCCTGCCGAATCCTGTAGGGGAGGTGCCACCTGCTTGCTGTTTCTCCGCTCCCTCAGCTCAAAGGGCATCCATGGGCAGCGGATGGCCTCTGTCATGGTCTTTTTTAAAAAATTTAATTTATTTATCTTTAGAAGGGAAGGGAAGGAGAGAAATATCAATGTATGGTTGCTTCTGGTGCTTCCCGTGCTGGGAACTGGCCCCTGCTAGGAACTGGCCTGCAACCAGGCATGTGCCCTGATGGGGAATCAAACCTCGATCTTTTGGTTCGCAGGCCCGTGCTCAATCCACTGAGCTACAGCAGCCAGGGCTGTCATGGTCTTATATGGCCTACATGAAAAAGACATGACAGAATGGCCTGGGAGGGACGCGTCCTGGTTCACTTCCAACTCAAACGTTTGGTGACTAAGACAAAGGTAGACTCACTGTGTCAGGGTGACCAACCACAACGTGTTGCTCAGGACCTTCAGGGCTGGAACGGGACCGGTCCCAGGCAGAGCAGGGTGTTCGGTGACCCCGAGTGTCGTACATCACTCTTCTCTCTCTCCGTGTGTCCCTTATAGATAAGGATCAGGAATTTTGACGCGTGCACACTAAAGAATTCTAGACTTTTCCAGATGCTAATATGGATGCTTAATTTACAGCTTTGTTTTACATTGGTTTAGTTCACATGCCTTTCAGTCCTCATAGGACATAGTTTATTTATTTAGCATGAGGTATATACGGTGTTCACCACTGGGTTCCACAGAGTAGCAGGGTTGCGGAAGTATCATTCGATACTTCAGTTTAACATTGTTCCTCAAAGTTTTATCAACCCTAGCATCAATGCCACTAAGTTTTGAAAGAAGCTGTTCCATTTTCTGAAGCAAGACGTTAATAGCTTTCTCTAGGCTGAGCTCAGCTGAGGGCTTCAAACAGATCTTCTCTTAATCCTCACATTTGATTTTCGTGGAGGTAAAAGTTATTATGTTGATCCTCACAACGCCCATTTGAGTTAGAAGCAGTTATCACTCCCATTTTGCTGATGGGCAAACTGAGGCTTAGAGGAGCCAAGTAACTCACAGCTGAGGGATCAGAGCCCAAGTCGTGTGGCTCCAGAGCCCACCTCCCTGTCCACCCTGTGTGGCCTCCGAATGGTCTCTGGCTCGGACACCCTGAGGGAGATGCTTGTTCTGTGAGACAGAGGAGGTTGGAAGGGGGTGGGTTTGGAGGAAGTGAGCCAGCAGTGAGTTCTGGGGTGCTGGAAGATCGTGCGCCTTGGGGGGGCCACCCAGGGGCATCCCAGGGGCTCCCTGGAGGTGCAGTTTTAAGAGGCTGGCTCATGGGTGGGAGCTGTCACAGAGCAAGTTATTGGTGAACAGAAGTAGCCTCAGAAATCCCAGCCTTTGAGCTTTGAGCTGAGAAAGCCAAGCCTGAGAAGCATTAGGGAGGGAAGACCAAACACGTCCCCAGAAGGCCAGGCAGCACCAGGCGCATGCGTGGAGAGCCCCACGTGACAAGCCCACCCCTGTCCTTTCTCTGCAGTGGAACAAGTGGCCAACGTAGTTCTCTACTCAAGTGACTATTATGTCAAGCCAGTGGCCGAGGAGGAAGCACAGTGAGTAACCGTTGGGTTCCTACTTCCTGGGTGGCCCAGGCTACTTCCCCAAGTTCTCCTTTTGTGCATCCTGCTGAGGGAAGTGAACGCTCAGCTAGCTCGCCAGCGCTCCGCTTCCTTCCCCTTTTCCCACTTCAAGTGCTGCAGGGAGGGTTAGCATCGCCGTTGCAGCCTCCCTTCCAAGGGCCCCGAGAGACTGGTCAAACTGGGACACAATGGAAGCAGGGAAATAAGGTCAGAAACGTCACAGTGGGGACACCTGCAATCCATCGCTAGGAACTTGGTACTATTCCTCCCTGCAAGAGGATAATTAAATGATCCGTCAGCCCAGGGAGAGCCCTCTGTCTTTTGATCTTCTCAACTCAAAATCTCACACCAATAACTGCTTAGCCTGTTGTGGTGAATGACTTTTCTCCCTGTGCTAGAATCAACACTGAACAGGAATCCTGAGATGGCTTCTTCCTGGGGCAGGGAGGGCAAGTTTTTGCCCATTTTCGCTTTGTGCTAGACGGGCAGAGCCATAAAAAATGCAGGCTTCTGGGGGTCAGCCCCCTGCAGCCCCTGAGAGGACCCACTGGGGAGGTCTCTGCCTAGCTGGCACGTTCTAAGCACCGATGTATGTGGAAAATATTACCTCAGTTAGAGGAAGGGGTTGATGAGGAAAGACACACTGATTCAGCAAGATAATATTATCGAGTGTTTGAAAGACAACTTGGGGATAAACTATTATTACCCAAAGCAGATCCTGAGGGAGGCAAGAAAGAAGCGTAACACGCCTCGGCCTCCTGGGTGCCAGGCCTTGGCCTCTCCGCTGCCTCCTGGCACGTGGCCTGTCCCGGCGGTGTCCCCGGCTCATTTTTGGCAGGTGCTCAGTAATGGCAGCAGAGAATGGTCCTTGGCCGAGTTTTGCCCAATACACCCCATAATCTGGTTCTCTTGTCAGCTCCTGGGTACATTTTGGACCAGATGATTCCCAGGAAACTGGGAGCCAATCTGGGCCCCCAAGGGTGGCAGGCAGATTGACAACTGGGTGGGATCATGCTGGTGGGTCTCAGCCCAGGAGCCACTCAGAAGGCTGCCGAGCATGGCGATTGTCCTTCAACCCTGGGGGTCCCTGGGCCCTGGTGGGCCCCCATCAATCCAGGTCAGACCCGACTCCAGGGCTGTTGCCCACTCTCATCCAGTCCCAGATCCTGAAGGTCCTGGGAAGGGGCCTTGCGGGCTGCAGGAAAGGCCATCCCCCTTCCTGTTACTGCCCCTTTAGAATATAATGCTCACTCTTGTCATTCTGCTGCCCAAGCCAGCTTGTTAAGAGAGGTCCCCATGGGGCCTGGATGGGAGGGCATGGGCCATCTGGTGCTCCGGCAGAATTCTGTCATGGACACTCCCAGGGGCCTCCTGTACACGCTGCAGGTGGCGGGAGCCACAGCTGCCTAGAACTCCACAGGGGGCTCAAACAGGGAATCTGTTCCGCAGGTGGCAGTTCAGACTCACAGCCCGCACGGGGCAGGTGGAGGGAAGGGCCCAGGGCTGCTCCAGGCCTTGCCCATTCTCAGTAATCCACCACCGTGGGCACACACAGACCCCCCTCACAATTTTTGGTGACAGGCAACTTCCAGTCGGGGCCTGTTGTGGCACTGGCCAGATGGCCCTGCAGCCAACTGCATGGTTCACAGTCTCAGGAGGAGATGGGGGTGGTCCCTGACCCTTGGGCCAGATGGCCTCATTCAGACCCACAGAACATGCTAGAAATTCAGTGATTACAGCAGGCAAAGGGACTTGAGAAACTGTCACAATCTTGCTGGCAGTCTAGTTTGAGATGTCAGTGATACTCGCCTGCCCCTGGTTAGGCAAGTGCATGGACACCTGAACTACCTTTCCGGTGAGTCACAGGGAACACGGATCCCGGACACGCTTGATGGCAGATGGGGGCTCCTGGGATGGACGGCGGCTTCGTGGCCGTGAGAGCCATTCACCAAATCTCCTCTGATTTTCTTCCTGCAGAGAGAAAGTGCCCCCGAATAGCACTCTGACCACAACGCTGACGCTGGTGCCCTTGCTGGCCAACAACCGTGAGCGGAGGGGCATCGCCCTGGACGGGAAGATCAAGCATGAGGACACGAACCTGGCCTCCAGCACCATGTGGGTCCTCCTAGCTCAGGAGATGAGCCCCCGAGACTCGGTGCTGCTGTGGCACTGGTCTGCTCCCCCTCTCATCTCACCCCCGGGGCTCGCAGGGGACCCCACTTCCACCCCTGGTGTGACGTGGCGGGTACAGCTGCAGGCCCTGAGCCAGCCTGGTGCCGAACCCCAGCTCCACTGGGCCACCGGGCGAATCTCTCGAGCTGTCTGAGAACCTCAGTGTCCTCATCTGTGATAAGCAGGTGCCAACAGTGCCTTCTCTTGAAGAGGTCACAGGATTACGGAGAAGGTCCATGTAAAATGGGGTGGAGGATGGACAGCGGGGGGGCAGGAACAGGATCATGCAAATTAAGGGGTTACCCGAGGATAATTGGCCGTGTTGGGGTATGAGATTCGAAAGCACATTTGGGGTGATCTTTGAGAGAGGAGACGAGGGAGATTGGCCCCTGAGGTCAGCTCATTCAAGGGCAAAACAATCGACCATAGCTTGCTGCATCTGTAAAAGACATTTTCTGGTTTCTGGAGTATTTTACACACACGTGAGTCTCGCCATACTTTTGTGAGAAAGGTAGATTTGCACTCATTTGATGGCTAAAGAAACTGAGGTTCAGCCAGAATGAGAGGCTTGTCCAGGGTCACCTGGCCAGTTAATGGCAAAGTCCACTCCTAACCCTGGGCCCTGGTTTCACCCTTGACTTCAGGGCTGCCGTCCAGGGCCCTGGGATGTGACAACTGCAGCAGAACGTGTACTAACCAATCTGTGTGTGTGTTGCACGCACGTGTGTGTGAGAGAGAGCGACACTCCCATTCGAGGGAGATGGAGGGGAGGAAGCTCGCAGGCTGTTCCCAGGCTTGTTGTCTGCCCCGGCCCTTTGGCCCCATTCTCTCCAAGGTGGAGAGTCAATCTCTGCAAAGGGAGGGGTCTCAGGCTTGCATCCCCCCTCTTCCCCTGTGGGGGCAAAGTCTCTCCACTGAGTGCTTGGCCGCATGCCTGATTCCAGATAAGGTACTTTGTCTTCTTCAGGGACCTCTGGGCCCCGATGAGCTGATGAAGTTATTTGGGGGCATCGTGGTCCTGGAAGCAATGTCTCGGGGCCCCCATCAGAAGGATGCCTGGGCTGGGTGCCTCCCGCAGGCCCAGAACCTCCCTCCCGCCCCCAGCCCACTTCTCAGACTGCAGCGCAGCCGCGTCCTCCACCTCAAGCCTCCAGGTCTCTCAGCCACGTTCTCGATCGTCAGTCACATCGTCTTAACTAGTATTTCATAATATTTTTATGCCTCAGTCCTTGTTGTCAGACCTCTTGAAACACTTCTGTCCCCAACTCCCTGCACTGGATCCTATGAGATAGCGACCAGCCTGGTGCCTGTCAGGCGGCAGGAGCCCAGTGCACGTTCTCGGGACCTGGGGTGGAGCTTCTGTCGAGGGCGGTGAGGCTGCACTCTCTTGGGGGCACGTGTCATGGCCTCACACAGCACAGTCATTCACTGCAGCTCGATGCTGGGTGCTGGGGACACAGAGCTGGAGTGCTCAGGCCAGAGACTCCTGCTGCCTGGCAGCTGGCCAGGAGGCTTTGCGGGGGAGGGGCAGCTGCAACGTGAGGTCTTACAGGCAGAGGAAGAGGACATTCAGGGGCAGGCTTGTATGTGTCCAGGCTGGCCCATGGGGGACCCTAGGGCACAGAAAGCTATGGGGTGGCAAAGGCAGACAAAGACAGCTCACAGATTACTGCCTGGCCATGCTTGGGCTGGACCCCGGAAGATCGGTCTGGCCACAGATCAGCAGAGAGCTCAGGGAAGGGACTTGGCACATGGGGTGTAAGTTACTGAGATTATCCAGGCAGGAAAAGCCTGTGGAGGACACAGGGCCCAGCCAGGGATGGCAGGTGGGACAGCAGGTGGAGCAGAGGAGAAAAGGGTTTCTGGCTGATAAGCAGGCGGATGAGCACCTACAGTGGCAGAGCAGGGAGCACCTGGAAGGACCCCCTGTCCCTGGTCTTCCAGGGGGAAAAACACCAACCTACAAGCAGGAAAGGCACCCCCTGCCCCGAGTAGGGCAAGTTCTAGGACTTGGACAGCTTGGCTGGGTTCACCAGCTCCTTGAGAAGACGCCCTTTTTTTTTTTTTTAAAAAAAGATTTTATTTATTTATCTTTAGAGGGGAAAGGAAGGAGAGAGGGAGAGAAATATCAATGTATGGTTGCCTCTCGTGTGTCCCCTGCTGGGAACTGGCCTGCAACCCAGGCATATGCCCTGACTGGGAATCGAACCGTGGTTGCTTGGTTCCCAGGCCCTAGCTCAATCCACTGAGCTATACCAGCCAGGGCGAGAAGATGCCCTTTTGATCTTGCATTTGCATGAGGATGAGGGGCTGGTTCACCCAGGCCTCTCTTCCCACGAGCCCCCTACATCCCTTTGCTTTTCCTCTCTGTGCAGCATCAAGGAGGGCATAGACCGGACTGTGCTGGGCATCCTGGTGTCTTACCAGCTCAAGGTGAAGCTCACGGTGACAGGGTGAGTGTCCGAGGCCCGCTGCTCTGTCTGGCCTGTCTTGGCCTTTGGCTGAGTTGTTTCCTTCCTGGATGACAAGGGGGCAGAAAGCTTGGGAAGGGCCACTAATTTCACCCACCACCAAGTAGAGTTTGACAGACGCTATTGGTCTGCTTTTGTAACTCCGTCTGATAGGACAGCACATGGGAAGAGGTGGCAGAGCAGGTGACGGAATGTGTGCCGGGCAGGCGCCACAGGACAGGAGTGGGTGCGCCTGTGCTCAGGTGGGGGAAGCTGACTTGCAGGAAAGGACAGTCAGTTCCGAGTGGCGCTGAGCTTCAGAAAAGAATGGCGGCTCTTGGGGGAGGCCCCACCCACAGGGAGCAACCACCCCTCCTTTTCCCAACGTGAAACCACAGGGTGGGGCATCTGCTTTTCCCACAAGGGCCCAGGTATCTCAGAGTTCTGAAGAAATGATTTTCCACTTATTTATTTTTTAGAGAGAGGGGAAAGGAGGGAGAGAAACATCAATGTGTAGTTGCCTCTCGAGGGCCCCCTACTGGAGACCTGGCCTGCACTGACTGGGAATTGAACCTGCAACCCTTTGGTTCACAGGCCAGTGCTCAGTCCACTGAGCCACACCAGCCAGGGCACCCAGTTTTTAATAAATTCCTTCCATCTGAAGGGAAACATTTGGATTCTCATTTTCCTTCTCAAATTCCACTGGCCGTGGCTCTGGTCGCTGACCTGGATGAGCCTCAGGTGGTGCAACCATCAGGTGTGTCATCTGTGATTCTCGGCAGATAAACAGTTGCCCAAAGTTTGGCTGAGGCAACAAAGTAGAACTTGGGTTGATTTTGCAAATTTTGTTCACAGTGTTTGTGTTTGCTGTGTGTTTTCAAAGTGTGCTGTGTCTACTTTCCTTTTCTGGAGGAGGATGTAAAGCAAGGTAGAGTTTCTCTTAGCCGCGAAGATGAGTGAGTAACAGGCATTTCAGGATTGTGGCCAGGAGAGAAACTCAGCTCTGTGGTTCATTCTTGGACAGTGGGGCTTGAACCTACATGACCCTCCTTCTAACTAATCCACGTGAGAGAGACATGAAATCGCATGCAGAGAGGAGCAGTGGAGTTGACTAGGAAGGAAGTCGTGAGTGAGGGACAGGGCTGGGGTATGTCCCGCCTCCGAGCGGTGGGAAACAAGGCCACGCTGCCACGGGTGCAGTCACTACAGCCCTGTCTGCTTTTGTTTCCTAGCTTTCTGGGAGAGCTCACCTCCAGGTAAGCCGCCTGGCCTGCCCCCTCAGCTTGATTCCCAGGGCAGCAAAGGAAGGACCCGGGGCTCAGACCGATAGCAGGGCAGCCTGGGTTCCTGGCAGCTTGGCTCTGAGCCGCTGTGAAACGGTGCCCACTGACGCTTGGATGTATCTCGCAAACCCTGGCGGAGAGGTGTGAGGCTGGGGCTGTTTCTGTGAGACCAGAGCTGGGCCACCCCCGGGCAAGGACACAACACACACACAAACACACTCACTCGGGCAATGGCACACTCCATGCAGCGCCTTTGTGTGCATGTTCGGTAAAATCGACTACATCCATGACACCAGCTGTCTTTACAGTGTTGTGTCATTGTCACCCCTGTCGAGCTCTGGAACATTTTTACCGCCCCCAAAGAAAACCCTGTACCTATGAGCACTCTCTCCCATTCTCCCTTTCCCCCAGTCCCTGGCAACCACGAATCTGCTTCCCATTTCTATAGATTCGCCTTTTCTGGATGTTTCATTCACATGGAATTAGACAGCATCTGCCCTTTAGTGTCTGGCTTCCTTTGCCCGGCACAGTTTTCAAGGCCCACCCAGGTCGCAGCGTGGGTCAGCAGCGCTGCATTCCTTTTTGGATGAATATTATTCATCCCGTTGTACGGACAGACCCCTTCCATTTATGCGCTCACCTGCTGGTGGACGCTTGTCTGGTTTCCTTCCGTCGGCTATTGAGTGTAGTGACCCTGCCTCTCGCTTCCTGCGCAGAGGAAGCAGGTGAGATGGGTTGGAGCCAGGCACCAAACTGCATGCTGCTCTTACCACCTCCTGCCCTCACATAGAACCCCGGGTACCCCTCTTCTCCTAGGCCCCTTCTGTGCGCCTCTACTGGGGTCTGATCACAATAGCCTTGTAAACGTGCATGTTGACCAAAGCGGTAACCACGGGGCTGGGGATGGTGGATCCCAGTGAAACAAGGAGTAACACACACGTGCACACACATGTGCACCCTGCCTCTCCAATCTCCCTTTGCCCAGACTTCCCTTCTGCTTTCCTTCCTCCCTTTTGTATAAATTCCAAGTTGCCCCAAAGCCCTTTAGCTTCTGGAATTTGGTGGACTCTGCTTACTTCTACCAAGAGACTGCGCTTCCGGTCCCCAAAGCACCAGCCTGCCATCGCTTTAACACATAAAAATTGTGTGCAGTTTTGCAAAGGGTATCTTTCAAAACTATCCTCTCCCGACCCCTCCTCCACCACAACATCATGTCACTGAAACTCACAAGCAGGAGGAAAGGAACCTGAGAACCGCAGCCTCCTCTGCCCACCAGGTGTCTGGACTGCCTGCTGGGACACATTTGAAATTCCTGTGTGCTGCCCTCCTGATTTCTGGTGTGTTTGGTTCTGAATCTCACTGAGTCCTGTGCGATTTGTAATTGTGTGTGTGTCCTCACTGATCCGAATGCTTCCTTTTTGTAGTGAAGTGGCCACCGAGGTGCCGTTCCGCCTCATGCACCCCCAGCCCGAGGACCCAGGTCAGTCCTCCCTTGTCCCGGCTTCTCTAGTCACTCGCTGTTTGCAGGTTGGTTACATAGTCCCTGCTAGTCTTTCCTGACCACCTCCCTGAGCAATGGGTGTGGCCACATCACCTTCAAGGTGCCCTGGGGGCCCTGGAAGGGGTGCTCCCCTGCTCAGTCCGGAGCCCCCAGGCACTGGCCTACCCTCAGTGAGCACAGGCAGGACGCAGCAGCCCTGGGCTCAGACACAGACGATCTCACTAGGTTTTCTGAGGAATGATTTAGAAGCAGAGGTTTCTCCTGTGAACAGGCCTGGATTTAAATGTTAAGAAAGTTTAGGTGAAAAATAAATGTGGTGCCTGAGCCTTTTGCATTTCATTTGGAAACATTAGCAGGCCTTGAGAAGAGTGTTTTTGACGGTGGAGACTGGGATGAGAAGGTAGAAAATACTAGACCAGAGGGTCAGGCTGGGGCCCCGTCACTGCGGCTCCTTTGAATTGTAAATCCTCTGGCTCTTGGGTGGAGTTGAGGGTAAAGGAAGCAAAGGTTCTGCAACCGAGTGCTCTCAACACCCTTGGGCCAGACCGGGGCCCTGTGAGCTGTGTGCAGTGCAAGTTCCATCTCGACGGGACCCTTTTAAAGGTTCGTGAAGCAGCAAAGATAATCCAGGTGCTGTCCGGAAATTCTGGGAAAAATCCTCCACTGTGCGTGAAGTGGCTTAGTCGTTAGGAGCTCTCAGAGTCACAGCAATAAAGCATATTTCAAGTAAATGTCATGCAAACAAGCAGGGTCCCTTTTTTTCGTACTTTATGTCTAGCTTTTTTTTAATACTGATAATGAAATGGCATGTGAACAGTAGAACGGGCCCCAGATTTATTTGGGTTTGTCTCAAAAATATTTTGTCTCCAAGTATCTTTTCCAAATAGTTTGGATTCAGATGCTCAGTGTACTTTGCCAAAACCTTCCCCTGGGGGAAAAATATGGTCTTGCCATGTTTACTTTATTCTCTTATGCTGGTGTCATTAAAACACTATTTTTGAGCTGTGTGTGAGTGAGATGCATTCTGGTCTCTTTCAAGGACGTTTTCAAAGCTTATTTTAAAACTATGATCTCAGGAGATGGCACGGTTTATGCAGGATTTTTTCCTGCAGCTGTGAACCGACTCCAGGGCTGAACGGGGGGAAGTGGCGTTATTCCCGTCCTGGGCATGACATTGCTGCGTTCCGGGCACCCTGGCCCTCGCATCGAACCTCCCACACATCCAGACTCTGCAGTGATCTTTTGTACTGCAAGGCTTCAGGGAGGAAGGACAAGTCCCCCCATGGCTTCACAATTCAGATCTCCAGGGACTGATGAGCCACCCAATTTTGTTCATAGATGTGTGCTCACACCTTACATGTCTAGGTCCCGGCTCCCTGGTTTGGATGGTAGACTCCAAGCAGAGGAAGCGCTGTGGCTGAGAAGCTCTGCCAGGGCCAGGGGCCAAATAATTTGCCTGTAGTAAGTGCTGCACAAATGCTACCGAGGTTTTATTGTCCCCTGTCGAAAGGAACCCGGGGTGTTGATTGGTGCCGGTTAGTATAATTTTATGCCTAGCACTGCGGGGGGCCCAGGAAGCTTCTTGCCCAGGGGATGTTTCAACGCGTGTCAGCCTCTCCGTAGTTCCTGCGGTGAGCAGCCCACACAGACACTCCCTCCCGGGGCTGGCCTCCAGGTGGGCACGAGAGACAAGGGCGGTGGCATGCCATTGGCATCGTGCTCCCAAGGAACCAGCTGGCGCCGTTTGGCATCCCTTAGCTCTTTCTGGCTCACCGCCATGGGTTACAGCAGCACTTTGCTAGGGAGATTGGAAGCTAAAAAAGAACAAAGAAAAACCCCCACTCAAATTAATAGCAATTAATCTGGGCTGCAAAACATACATGGAAAGACAACCCAACAAAATACAGATCAGTATGCTAACAGAGAAATGGAACCTGAGGGGCTGGGGCTGCTGGGTAGGCTTGAGTCCTAGACTCATCCTTTGAGAGTGGACGTGGAGAGTCTTGGAGGGCAAGCCTGGGTCCTGACGGTGCCTGCGGGACTCTGGTCTAGACGGGGGTCCAGGTACATGCAGGCAGAGATGCTCTAAGAGAGAAGTGTGACATCAGAGAGAGTGAGGTGGACCAGGGAAAGAGTCCTGGAGGTGAGGCTGTGGCTTGTCCCCTTGAGCAGGCGAGGGAGTGGCACTTTAGAAAGAAACCGTGGTGGAAAATACAGGGAGAAAGGCTCTCCGAGGGGGGAAGGCAGAGAAGCAGGAACCCTGATATCATGAGATGTACGAGCCTGGGCCTTTTATCCCTCCAACTATAAATCACTAAACCAGGAAGACGTTTTTCAAGTTGAGGTGTTATACGGAATTTCTGCTAATCTCTCTCTCTCTCTCTCTTTCTGTCATTCCACGCCACAGCTATGGCCAAGGAAAGGTGAGCTGCTGCCCCGCGTCACCCTGGATTGTTTCTCATTGACACAGACCCCTTTTGGGGTCATTTTATACACACCCCATGCTCTTGATACAGGGTTGAACCCTGGTTTCCCTTTTATTTCCTAGTACTAAGGCACACAGGCACATGTGTGCACGCACATACTCATCCATGTGCACATACATCCACGTGCACACATACATGTGTGCGTGTGCGTGCACCCGTGGATGTACTGGGTGTGTGTGTCTGCTCTGTGGGGCTTCTCTCTTGTCTGTTTGTTAAAGAGATTGTCTACCAACAGCCACGAGGAGAAGGGCATGGTCCCATGTCCCATCACACGGGAAACTCTCTGTGGGTTCCTTTGTTGCAAAAGGAAGATCTAGGGTCTCGTTTCACTGGAGAGTTCATTGCACGCTTCAGAATGTGCCATGATCATTATGTTCTCTGTTTACTTTTAGTTTTCAGGATGAAGATTTGGTTTTTGAGGATTTTGCTCGCCAGAATCTAAAGGACTCGGGAGACCCTGAGGAAGGGAAGAAGGACCCAGAGGCACCTGCGGATGAGTGAAGAGGTCGCTGAGGGTGTGGGAAAGGGGCCTGAGCAGCGTGGCAGGCAAAGCTCCACGGTTAGCCCTTTAGTGATGCTGAACACCGAAGTGGGAGTCTCTTCACATAAATAAAGTTGGTCTGTCCTGCTCCAGCCGCGTCTGGCCTGCTTGCTGGGGAGGCTGCTCGGCACACTGACATGGGCGTGGCTGCAGCTGGGGTGCAGGGAGGGCAGCACCTAGAGGGGAGGGCAGCCCGCCACAAAGGGCACGGCGCTGCCCCTTCACAGTGAGAAAGCAATGCTCACCTTGGGGCCTGCTGTGTCCTGGCCTTTCTCCTGGGGCTCCTGTGCCTGCCATTTCCCTAGAAATATATAGGGGGTAGCGGAGAGGTAGTGTTTCTGAAGATGTGACCAATCCTAGCTCAGGACCCCCAAAAGAGCCTCCAGAGATCTACTAGACAGAGAAGTCAACGGTGGGCCAAACACACTCCATCGCTGATTCAACTCTTGGGGCCAACTCCCTGCTGGAGCCCTGGGTTGTTGGTTGAGTTTGCAATGAGTGCAGGGGATGAAAATCAGATTCGGCTGGTTTCAGGGGGAAGGAATGCACTGAAAGGTCCCCAGAGAATGGAATTAAAGGGAGAACCCGAGCTGCCATGCCTGGGTTGGGCAGACATTGGAGAGGCTTCTGGGGTCCCCGCCATTTACCCAGAGCGGGGGCTCAGCACCAGACGCTCTGGGTCTCGGTTGGGTGGATCAGTGCCCTGTGGCCACCAGAGGCAGAGCCCAGCCCTAAGAACAGGCCGTCCCAGGAGAGGGGAGTGGTTGTGAGACTGACAGGCTTCTTGGTTTGAGCATCTCCATGGAGACTGGGCAGAGACTGGGGGGGTGCGGGAGAGGGTGCTCTGTGTCAGGGAGGAAGGAGGTCTGCAGAGGGAGGAGGGGTAACCGAGGTGATGCCAGGGCCCTGTCCTCCATGGGGCTCCCCTTCCGGCCCATGGTGCACCAGCCTGGGGACCTGCTACGGAGACAGAGAGGCCAAACAGCTCTCTTGGTGGCCCAGAGGGGCTTGGGGGATATGTAGGCTCTGGCCCAGGCTCCAGGGGCAGGATGAAAGGGGTTTAGAGAGTTCTGCACAGTTCCGCCCACTCAGGGGAAGTTAGAGGGTGAACTGGAAAGGTCGTGTGAGGTGTGGACACTTGGGGCCAGGTCTCCAGCACCAAGAGCAGTGGCAGAGGGCTGGACAGCAGGGTGGGTTCCAGGCAAATGAGGGCGTCCCACAGCTGGGGTTGTTCTGCAGGAGGCCAGGCTGGTCTGTGTCCTGGGGACTGGGGTTTAGACCAGAGGCTCCACTAGGGCACGTTGGACAGGCATCCACACGCACATAGCAAGGCTGAGTGTGAGGCGTTCGGATATGGATGGCCAGGGATGAATCTTCTTTCTAGAGATCAACAATAATGATGATAATGCAGGCAGAAGGCTGGGCATGTGGGCTGTGGGTCTGGAGTTGGACACAACTTCTTCGTTGTTTTTTTTTTTCCTGTGCTAAGGGAAGGGCAAGCCACCCCTCCAGCCCTCTGTCAGTGTACGCAGGAAAGGGATGACCTGGGCAGCATGCTCCTCCGGGGATGTGAGCCCTGCCCCTGCCCTCTGCCCCCTCCCCGCAAAAGCCCAGAAGATCCTGGGCCAGTCAGGGAACTGGAGTCTGCCTGGGAGTGCCTGCTGGTTCCTGCATTGCTTGACCCCAGGACATCCTAAGTCAGGGTGGATGTTAATAGGCCTGACCTTTGGACCTACGTGGGTGGGAGAGCTGGATAGGAGAGCTGGCAGGCTAATCCCTGGAGACCAGAGGTCAGAACAGCCCTCGCCCTCCAGGTTATTTTGGTACCAGAATGTCTGACTTGTGGATTTCCAGGTGCTGGCTAGTTTATGGCCTGCAGTTGGCCTCCCTGGGAGGGCATGGGGGTGGGAGCAGGAAGTGAGTGCTGGCCAGCCCAGCGGGATGTGGAACTTGGCCTTGGCCGGGCCTGTGCACACATGGCGTTGTGTCTGCTGGTGTGCTCCCTGGCGTCAGCAGGCAGGATGTCTATGTGTGGGTTGGAGGTGTGGCCCAGGGCTTTCCAGGTAGGTGCGGTGAAGGAAGCGGGGCACAAAGGAGGTGAGGGTGCTGCATGAAGAAAGCGGTGGCTGAGACTTGGGACAAGGTTCTGCAATGACAGCCAAAGGCTGGAGAAGTAGGGATCCCTGCTAGTTACCGAGCACTTGCCTTGCGCTGGGCACTTTTTGTATTCCATCTCATCATCCCAGCAATGCTTGTAAGTGCAGTGTCCGCCCGTTTACTGGATGAGGAAACTGCAGTTCAAATAGCTTGTGTGCCTACCCAAGGTCACACAGCTAGTGAGAGTCCGAGTCGAGATTTGAACTCTGGATTTCCTGAGTCTGTAACCAGACCTTTGCCCACCTTCTGACGCTGAACAAGTGGATGAGAGTTTGGAGGGTCAGAGGGAGAGATCAGCATTTATGATTCACCTGCAGTTGTTCCCCAAGGGGATCAACTCTGCAGAGAGTTGTTGTCCCCACCAGGATACTGACACTGGGCCAGCCCACCCATCCTAGACGTCCCGTTTACTTGTCTCGTGTGTGTGTTCAGTCCTCTCCGGGTTTAGCACACAGGCAGTCACTTCTCTGTAGAGAGTCTGTTCGTCTACTCCTTCAACCCTTTTCACTGCTCTCCTCCCAACCTATTGCCTCAGCCTTAGCAGTTTATTCTACTGACCTTGCTTGCGAGTGGGGTAGATGGGGAGTCGGCATGCTTGGAAATGGGTGGTGGGGGTCAGGCTGCCACTGTGCCTGGGGGCCAGGGAACCACATGTCACACACAGTGAAGAAACGTCGCCTTCCACACGTCAATCATAACCCCAGTACAGGGGAGAATAAGATCATCTCCCTGTCTCCAAGCGAATTTTCTCCTCCAACGGGAAGCGGTTCTCTTTGACAGGAGCACTTCTATGTTGACAAGTCGCGAAGAAAGATTAGGTTGGATGTGAAGTGTGTTATTACTTCCACCTTGATATGCCCGTAAGGGGGGGGTGAAGTCAGGGAGCAGCACATTGTTAGAGATGATTCACAGCATGACTCACACCCCGAAGCGGCACCGCAGAGAATGCGCCCTTACCGGCTGGCCGCTCCGGGGAGGTCTCCCAGGGAACGGCGCCGTATCTGCGGCACAGAAAGGCTCCCTCACTCATCAGCGATGTATTCCAAACTTACGTGTCTCTGACTTAAGAACACACCATCATTCTTACCAAGCCTAATGAACTTTCAAGAATTACCCATTTGATTTTCAAATAGTTTTAGATTTTTAGAAAATTTGCCAAATGGTACAGAGAGTTCCCCCACCCCGTTTCCCCCATTGTTAGCATCTTACTTGCAGAGGCCGCCTTCGCGTCACGTCATGGATCCACACCGCCATAGCGTTAGACGGCAGTCCACTCTGTGCCCTGATTTCTTCAGTTTTACCCAATGCCCTTTCCTTTGTTATAGGACCCCGCACGACATTTAGTTGAGACATTTAGTCTTCTTAGGCTCCCCCTGGCTGTGGCAATTTTTAGTACTTTTTCATTAATGCAAATCTATTCCCATTCGGCCTCAGGATCTACCTCCCAACTCTGACTTTCATTCACGGTCGTGCCTGTGTTTTTTTTGCCTCTAAAATGATGGATTCTAGAGCCTGAGCTTCTGACAGGTATAGGCAACAGCACACTCAGGAACCTCAAATGCAGTTTGTTCAAAACCAAGTTCATCTCCTCTAAGCCTGCTTGTACTCAGTGGGGCATCATGCCCTCGAAGGCCCCTGCCCCGCATCTGGGAGGCATCCCAACTGGTCCTGCTCCCTAACCTTCTGACTAGGAGCCGCTGATGGCTTTTTTCCCTCCTCTGCCATGTCTCCTCCCGTCCTCAGCTCCATGACCACCACTGTGGTTCTGGCCAAAATCAGCCTTGTCTAGATTGGTAAGTCACTCTTCAATGCCCTCTCTGCTTCTAGTCTTTTCTCCTCTGGATCATTCTCTGCCCAGACACACAGGCATGCTTTTCAAATCCGCTTTTTCAGTGGTTCCGTGCTTGGGGTGATGTCCTTGCCCCTGAGGACAGCACAGAGGCTGCTCTGGGTCCTTCGGCAGCTGCTTAGCATGTCTCCCCACCCCGCCCCCCAACTCCACCCGGCTCACCAGCAATCCCAAATCCCCTGAATCCCTTGTCATCCTTGCCACTTGCCTAATAGTCTCCTGCCTTTTTTGGGTCTTCCTGGAAAATTCTCTCCATCCCCTCGTGTTTCTGTTCAGATCTCCAAACCCTGCTGGGGTCGCCCCTCCTCTGGAGAGGGTCGCATGAATTAACTCTTTCTCTCCCCTCAGTCCCCCCCAACCCCAACCTTTTGCATTCAGTGGTCATAACACATGCTAAGTAATTGGTACAAAATGACCAACTTCTGTGGGGGTCAGGACACCCTTCCCTTTGCACCTGTAGAAATCCCCTCCAGCTGCCGCAATGAAGTGTCAGGGGCAGGGGGCTTAAATGACAGAAATGTATTTCCTCACAGTCCTGGACACAGAGTCTGGGATCGGGGTGTTGGGAGAGTCAGCTTCTCCCGAGACATTTCTCCCTGGCTTGTAGTGGGCCACCTTCTCCCTGTCTTCACGGGTCTTCCCGCTGAGGCTGCCTGCATCCAAACTTACTCTTTTTATAAAGACACCAGCCGTCTTGGATGAGGGCCCATCCTAATGGCCTCCTTAATCCTAAAGGCCTAACCTCGGGGTTAGGGCTCCAATATATAAATGTGGGGGGCCACAGTCAGTGCATAACAGGGCTCTTCTCTTCTCTTTCTTCTTACAAGCTCCTGGGGCCTCACATGGTCCAGGTTCAAGCCCTGCCTGTCTCACTCCTTTGGAGAGGCATCTGAGCCTTGGGTTGCAGTCTTTTTTTTTTTAAATTTTATTTATTTATTTTTAGAGAAGGGAACAGAGAGAGAAAGAGAGGGAAAGAAACATCGATGTGTGGTTGCCTCTCACGTGCTCCCAACCAGGGACCTGGCCCTACAACCCAGGCACGTGCCCTGACTGGGAATCAAACCAGTGACCTTTTGGTTTGCAGGCTGGCACCCAACCCACTGAGCTACACTGTTCAGGGAGAGGTTGCAGAGTCTTCATCTCCAAAATGAGACTATCGAGCTTGCTCCGTGGGGCTTGTGTGAGGACTAGACTTGCTGGGCAAGTGTCTGGCATGAGTCTGGTGGTCAGCACATGGGAGCCGTCACTGACCTCATGCATTGCGGAACTTTTTGCGATGACAGAAATGTCCTATGTGTGTGCCGTGTGGTAGCTTCAAAGCCACAAGTGGCTACCGAGCACTCGAAATGTGGCTAGTGTGACTGAGGAACTAGAAATTTAATTTTCTTCTTTTTTGGCAGAATTTTATGTTTTTATTAAATAGGATGTGTACATCATCTGTCTGTTCACTTTCTGCACTGTGCAGCCTGGCATCAGGATTGGCACCTGTGATGGCCAGCGGGGCTGCTCTGTCCACAGGGGCTTTGCGGTTCTCTGAGGAGATGTGAGTGACCTCACAGTAAGATTCATTGCACATTAGCAGTACTTCAAGCTCCTTGACGCTGTGGACCAGGAGTTTTCAAAAGCCACTGGGCATGGGGGAATGGTGGGGAGAAAATGCAGACAACCGTACTTGAACAACAATAATAAATAAAGAAAGAAAGAAAAATAAAGAAAGCCACCGGGCAGCATGTGCTTTGTGTTCTTGTCGCTCCTATAACCCAGGCCAGGCAGCAAGATCTGGCCCTTGAATCCTCTGCACACCCTATTGTCAATCCCTCTGGGATTCTGCCAGTTCCATTTAATTTTGACACATCAGTCTGACTGGGGCTGGATGAACTTTTGGCCTTCTCTTTGACAATCTTGGGTTTCATTGAGGAGTCCAAAGGTAGCCATGGTGCCAAGTAAGAGACAGTTGCCACCTCTCTAGGCAGGGCTGAGGAAGAGCTGGAAATTTAATTTTAATTGAAATTGAGGTAGCTACATGTAGCCAGCTAATGATTACAGTATTGGGCAGGGCAGACTGGTACACCAAGGGCCCTTGGCTTGTCCCAGAGTGTCCCTGCATTAACCCCTGACATGCTCTGCCATGGCTATGAGTCCCTTCCCTGGCCATGTGCCCATGTTGGATGCTACTCAGTGGCCCCTGGGGGTCTTGCTTTGCCTCTGGAAAGCATTGCCAAGTGCAGTGAGGGCCAGAGAATGCTGACGGGCAGACCAGGGGCCTCTGAGTCTCTAGCAGTTCTTTGAAAGGGTAGGGGGACACTTACTTGTGTAGCCCCCTGATGATTTTCCCCTCTCAGGTGGCTTGAAGCCCTTGTCCACCTGAATTTCTCCAGTGAAGGACTCCACCCACCCACCCTGTGGTTCAGCCTAGGGCCTCTGCTTCCACCTACAGATCCCTGTCCTCCTGAGTCCACTTTTCTACCTTCGCAGCCCCTCTCAATAATCCAGGGCGGCTACCTACCCTGGTTACTGCAAAGCCGGATCACAAGCCCCAGCTTTGTGACCTAGCCCCGCCCTGGGCTTCCAGTGGTTCTCAGGACTCAGAGACCAACCGCCTTATAACTTTCACAAAGTCTTATCTGACTCCCTGACCCAGGCTTATCTCTCTTCCCTTTATAGGCTACAGCAACTTCTTTTTTCCCCCCCGGAGGCTTGTTCTTTCTGTCTCCAGGCCTTTGTGCAATATGGTCTCTCTGCCTAGAGCACTGATCCCCAGGACGCCTGTAGCTTGTTAGGGATACTTCCTGCTGGCATTCTCCTTAAACACCACTTTCTCCAGGAGCCTTCCCAGATGGAATCATGTATCCCTGACATCCCAAAGGTCCATCCAGGTAGCTTCTTCTTTCTCTCTTGCATTCATCCACTGCCCAATTGTTTAACATGCAGCTAACTGCTAAATGCCAGACGCCTTGTTTAGATGCTGGTGACACGATGCACAACAGGACACAGTCCCAGGCGTCCTGAAGGTCATTTACATTCTTAAGGAGGAAGGTTAAAGACTAAAAAAAAAGTGAACACAGAAACCAAAAAAACCACAAATTGTGTCCCAGGAAAACAAACAGATGCTAAGTCAGGGCCAGGACACCACCAGTGGGGGGCGACCCGGCTAGTGCACAGCCAGCAGGGGACACCGTGGGGCGGAGCTGAAGGGCGCCCAGGCCTGGCCCGGCCCCTCGCCAGGACAGGCCCCGCCCCTCTAGGCCCCTCCTTCGGCCCCGCCCCCATGCTGTGCGCGCGCTGGCCCGGCAGCATGGCGGCGGCGGTGGGCGTCCCTCAGCCGGGTCCACCGCAGCCGCCTCCGCCGCCGCCGCCCGAGGAGTCGTCGGACAGCGAGCCGGAGGCGGAGCCCGGCTCCCCTCAGAAGCTCATCCGCAAAGTGTCCACTTCGGGTCAGATTCGTCAGAAGGTGAGACGCGGCAGCGGCCCGGGCGCGCGCCCCTCACGCCGTAGCGAGCCCCGTGAGGCCCGCGGCTCGGCCGGAGCAGCCTCCCAGGCCCGGCCCAGCGTTTAGCTGCCTGGGCGGAGCGCGCTCCGGAGGTAACGGGCCGGACTCCCGGCCCCGCGCCCGCCGAGCGCCCTTCCTGGCGGGGCGGCGGCGGGGATTCCGGGCCGGGGGCGCAGATGGGGGCCGGGCGGGCGGTGCGCGGGGCCCGGGCTCCCGCCGCGGTGGACTGAGAGGAAGCCCCACGCCGCCAGGAACGGGAGGAAACTGAGGCCTAGAGGCGGGGGGTGCGAGCTCACCAGATAGGGGACTCCTGGCTGCGCCCCGCAGGCTTGCGCTCCCGGAGCCCGAGCTCTGCCCGTTTCTGAGCCCCGCTCAGGTCCTGTCCCGCTGGGCGCTCCGCAGACTCACCTGTGGTCTCCCTAGAAACCAAGCTGGACCCGGGGTGCGGGCCGGTCCCTTGACTCGCGTGCGTTTTCGTACCCGAAAGGAGAGGGATGCGCGTGTGGTGACCGGCTCTCCCTCCCTCCCTCCCTCCGCGGGGACGCGGGGAGAGGGGGCTTCCCCTGGCCGGGCAACAGCGTGGCACCTCGCTCTCCGTGGAGAACACGAGACCCCAAACACTAGCTGCGGAGAGACGCGTTTCCTTTGTGCAGGAGAAAGTTGCCCTTTGTCTTCCCATCGCGGCTGCCGTTGCAATCCGCCTCTGGCGTTGGCTGTAGGGGAGCGCTTCTGTTGGCACCGGGCTTCCTCGGGCCGGGGCCGCGCAGGTGGCCGCGGGCTGGCGGCCCCGGGCGGGCGCAGGCTCGCTCACCCTGCTGCAGTGCGCTGTTCCTCCGGGCCGGTTAGGTTAGGTTCGGCTGCTGCTTTTGCCGCCGAAGTAATTTCTTTCCCCTAACTTTCAGCCGGCTTTTGAGACTCGTGGTAGGGTGGTCTTTTGTCCTCGCACGCCCCAAACCAGGCTAATTGTGAAGTGGTCCAAGTATTCAGCAAAGAGATCTCGAGTGCCTCTCTTGTTCCAGGTAGAATAGTCGCGATGATAGCGATGGCAGTTCTTCAGTGCTTGCTGTGTGCCCGCACTTTCGTTGGGGTAGCTTTATAGCACTTGACATAGGTCACAGCTCATCTCGTACTGGTGCTAACTCATCGAGTCCGGTGTTCTCGGTCGTCCCCATCTTACGGAACTGGAAATGGAGGGAGGCAAGTGACGGGACTTACCCAGGGCATCTCAGGTAGTAAATGTGGGTGTGGATCTGAACCGCGGTCCGGATCCCGAGAGGGAAGGCCATTCCTCAGTCTGGGGTTCCAGTCGGGAGGGGATGGACACCTACGTGGGCGACTGTGGGAAAGCTCAGAGCACTTTGGGGACCAGGGCAGGCAGGGATAAAGAGGCCCCCTGTACGGCTGGATTGGAGGGGTAGAGTTTGCTGGTCTAAGTGAGGGAGGAAGGGCTCTCCACAGAGTTCACTGTTGGCTGTCCAACCTTTTGGCATCTCCAGGGCACACTGGAAGAAGAGTTGCCTTGGGCCACACATTAAATACACAAATACTAACAAAAACTGATGAGCAAAAAAAAGGTTAAGTAAATTTATGATTTGGTGTTGGGCCACATTCATAGCCATCGTGGGCTGCATGTGTCACAGGTTGGACACCCCTGGCCCACCTGGGATTGAGCAGAAGGTGAGTGCAGCAGGTTGACAGCAATTAGGGAGAGGCTGGGAAGGTAGGTTTTGAAGGGCTGGCCTGGGATTGGCTTTTGGCCTTGGGGAAGAGGGAGCCACCGTTATTCATAGCATAGTAGCGACCAGGTTGGATGTGCTTTCAGGAAGATCTCCAAGTGACCTAATCAGGAGCCACGAAGATGTCCTCCCCCGTGGATTGATCCTCCAGCATGTTATGTGCCTAGTGTGGGGTAGATCCTGTGATTTACCAGTGTGATTAAGGTTTGATCTCTTAGAGATTCCAGTGTTTGTCCAGAATCCTGTTCTTTAGGATGTGGGTTACTCCCCCAAACCAAACCAAACCAAACCAAACCAAACCAAACCAAACCAAACAATGGTGGCTGCTCCACCAGCTGTTCTGCTTGAGGGGGAGTGATGGGTAGAGTGTTAAAAATATACCTTGAGGACTCAAGGTTCTGAATACAGTTACATCTGCTGTACAAATAGCCTAAGGCTGACTTTTCTTTCTGGTTGTTGGTGGCTGTCAGCATGTGGGAAATAGGAGGTTTCCTGTATGTGAAATACCCCTCCCCCCTCTTTAAGCAGATAAGCCATTCAGAAAATTTCTCTGATAGATGTGGTGTGTAAGAGAAATGTCCAAAATGGTACCAGGTATCATTCTGGGTCCAAAAAGGAAAACCAAACCCACTTTACGTATTTAAAACTGGGGATTTAAGTAGGGGCATGTGCACGTAAGTGATGAAGAACTGAGAATGCAAATGGCAGTGAGGCAACCCTGAGATGAGGCAACTAACTGGAAACCACTGCCACCCCTAAGCTGGAGGACAAAGTGAGGAGGTGGCATGTCTGACTCCAGGAGCGACTGCCACCCTTCGGGGGCTGGAACTACCCTGCGTTGTCTGTTCGGGGGCTGGAGCCTTGGGGAGGGCACAGCTGCTGCTGGAGGCTCACCCACACCCCTTCTGCTTGGGAAACCCAGTCTGCAGGGTCCAGCCCCACCACCGCTTGGAACAGAGCAGTAGAGGAATGGAGCTGAGGACAAGGTGGCCCAGGACCCAAGCTGTATGTATGTCAAGTTTTGAAATATTAGTCCAGTAAACTAGAGCAGTCCTAAGGAAAAAGAAAAGGAAGTATCTTATGACAGTACTTCCCAAATCTGAATGTGCAGCAGACACATCCCTGGGGAGCTTGTTAAAATGAAAATTTTGGTTGAGTAGGTCTGGGGTATGGCCTGAGATTCTGCATTTTTTAAAGATTATTTATTTATTATTCTTTAGAGGGGAAGGGAAAAAAAGAGGGAGAGAAATATCAGTGTGTGGTTGCTTGTCGTGCGTCCCCTGCAACCCAGGCATGTGTCCTGACTGGGAATCGAACCACGATCCTCTGGTTTGCAGGCCTGCGCTCGATCCACTGAGCTACATCAGTCAGGGCAGATTCTGCATTTCTGATCAGCTCCCAGGAGATGCTGCTGCTGGTCCAGGGACCAGACTTTGAGAAACAAGACCTTACCACATGTGCAGAGGAGGCTTACCGAACTCCAGGTCTTTAGTATATGAGGTTTTTTAAAACTCTTCCTCAAGACTCCAGCATTCTGAAAATGTATTGTGTGATTTGGGAAGTTGTTAGTTAGTTTAGCATTTCATGCAGCTCTGGTATTGTTACACGTTCCAGTTTCCCCAGCAAACCATTTGTATATCCAGACTGTAGCACACAGCAGTGATTCTCTAAGCTGCATAGCTGCAGTGGAGACGAGTGAGGTGTTCATGCACTGGGAAATTAATCCACCTTACATTGTAAGGTATCATGAAATTGCAGTTTATCAGTTAAGGTAGAGTTTTAATTTATTTAAAAGTTTTTAAAAGTTAACATTTTTGGCTTTGTGCGTAAAAATGCTTCTAGTCCTGAGTTCAGATTTAAACAAAGCATTTTCCCATTGTGAAATGAAAATTAGTAGAAATTAGGTAAAAGTTTCAAGTTTTACAAGACTTAAAAAATGACAGCTTTATTAAGATATAATTCACATACCAAATGCCACTCATTTCAAGTGTATAGTTCAGTGATTCTTCGTATCTTTGTAGTAATGCAGTCACCACCAGTCAATTTTAAAACATTTTCATCACCCCGGAGAGAAACCCTGTAACCATTGGCATTCACCCCCCATTCCTCCCAACTCTCAGCTGTAGGCACCTGCTAACCCACTTTCATGAAAGGCGCCGTGTGCCTTTCATGTTTGGCTTCTCGCACTTGGCAGAATGCGTTTGAAGTGCATCCCTGTTGTAGCACGTGTCAGTACTTTTCCCTTTTTATTGCTGAATAATACTACATTGTGTGGATATACTACATTTTATTTACACTTATCAGTTGATGGGCACTTGGGTTGTTTCCACTTTTTGTCTGTTCTGGATAATGCTGCTGTGAACTTTTGTGTGCAAGGTTTTTTAAAAACTCTTCCTCAAGTCTCTAGCATTCTGAAAATGTATTGTGTGATTTGGGAAGGTTGTTAGTTACTTTAGCATTTCATGCAGCTCTGGTATTGTTACACGTTCCAGTTTCATTTCTCTTGAGCATATACACCAATGGGTGGACTTACTGGGTCACATGGTAACTCTATACTTAATCTTTGAGAAACTATCAGACTGTTTTCCAAAGTGGCTGCAGCATTTTACATTCCCACTAGCAATGTATGAGAGTTCCAGTTTCTTCATGTCCTTAGTTACTGTCTTTTTGATGAGAGCCGTCCTAGTGGGTGCAAAGTGGTGTGAAAGGTTTCAGTGCGAGTGTGTAGTAGTATTTAATAGCTTTGGTGCCAAATGAAGTCGATCCACCTCCTGCCTCACTGCTTATGAGACATGTGATCACAGACAAGTTTCTAAACTTCTTAAGATTTGGTTTCCTTATCTGTAAACAGGGAAAATATTAGTTCTTGGGTTGGCAGTAGTGACAATAGATGTTAGGTGTGTGCTCCTTAGCCTCAATTTACATATCTGCAAAGCAGAAATGATAATAGTTCTCAGATCCGTAAAACAAATGATAACTCATAGAACTAAATATGATAATGCATGCACAACACAGCATAGTGCTTCACCCACCTCAAGCATTCAGTAAATGGTTGCTCTTATGATTAGTTCCGTCTTTCTGATTGTTCATTTTTTGTATTTTAAATAGTAGCCATCTTCCTGAACCTGTCCTTCCCCACCTCATGCTGATCTGGGTGAATCTTCATGTCTGTCAGCTAGAAGAACAAATAAAAATGAGTCTGGTAGACAATTAGTAATGAAAGGC